CCATGTCTGTGACTTCCAAGCTTACCTAGAGTGCCTTTTCTCTTGTACACCAACCCTTTAAGCAAATCTGAATTCCATTCCGTAAAAGCTGTCTTTGCCCATGGGACTGTCCCTCAAGAAGAGGTGGCTTCTTTTCGCCAGATAGCTCCAATTTTTAATTTGTGAAAAAGGAGCCTAGAGTAAAGTTTGCTGTGTTTTCACTCATTAATTACTTAAGATTTCATATTAGCAAAGACTATTATTCATATTAGTCAAAGACTATTTCAGTAAAGCTCTGGGAGGAAAAAAGCAATTGGTAGAAGTTTAGATTTAGATTTAAGGCATATATATATATAGTTGGTTCAAGCTTCAGTTATCAGTGATGGAACCTAGGGAGCTGTTATGCTGACCCTACTTACAAGGTACACATTTGTTAGGTCAGCTGATGAGTTTTGTGCTCCATTATCTGTGTTGAATAGCTCTCCATTGATGGTGAGTTGGACATCTCTGTGTAGATGTGTTTTTTGTTTTTTTTTTTTTCAATTGCACGCTGAAACCTTCAGTTTGTTGAAGAAATATTTTTGCATATCTTCAACTTTCGTTGCTACTGAGTAGGGAAAATATTGCTTATCTGAATGTGTTGTCACGTAACGTAACTTCATGTTTAGGTCAGGTTTGTGCAGAATGATGAGGAAAAACATTTACAAGAAAGGTAATATTCTGACAAGGTTGAAATTCTCAAATACATATTTTTACTTCCCTCTCTACTCATACAGAGTAATACAAGGAGCCAGAGAACCAGAATCTGTTCAGTCCTATGCGTGCTTTTTTCTGTTACATAAACTACTTTTAATCAGATCTAACAAGGCTGGGGGTTAGGAGGACTCCGTGGCTGTCTGGAGTCACTCTGGCCATGTTCAGTGTGCCTACGAGACTGTGCCCCAGCTCTTGTAGGGGAGGGTTTCTGTGTGGGAGGCCAAAGTTCTTCGAACAGCTAATTGCCCTGTAAATTATATTGGTACAATAAAAATAAATACGGTAGCTCTTGTTGCAAGAGTTCCCTTCTAGTGTCACTTAGCAGTCGGGCTTAGTTCCCCAGAAGTGCTGTATTAATGAGTTGTAAAAATACTAATGTTACCTACAAGAATTTTTTTGCCTCGTATGTCTTTTAGGAGAGAGAAGCTTAACTTTATCAGGTCTGAAAGTACATCTTAACTATTAGAAGATTTTTTGTGGCTATTTTTCCCCTCTACAGGGTTGGTCATTAGTCATTCTTGAAAAAGGCAAATAAATGAACATCTGGTAATTCCGTGGATTTCAAAATTGTTGGTAAAATTTGGCATTATAACCCAAGCTGAGAGAAGACACCTTCCTAGGCAATTTCTTAAAAAGCCATGTCTGTTCCGCTCTGAATGAGCTTGTCTGTTTTGAAGTCTGCACTAAGGAGGACCCATCCCACAGAGAACAGAGTGGTGCTGTGGAGGTGCTTGGTGCTGTGCATGGCTCAGAAGCATCTGCCTGGAAGAGAAGCTTTTCCCTCTAGATTAGAAAATTGGGATTTGAAATCGAGTGCCTGTCTCATCTACTTTGAGCTCGAAGTTGTGTGCTGATTCCTAGTGGACTGTTTGTGCACGTATATGGTGTTTTGGTTTGGACTTCTCTTTTCAATATTCTTGTTCTATCTTGCTTCAGAAGGTCTGCAGTGATTCTAAGAACTCTTTCCTGATGAAAGCTTGCGAATGTGGTGGTTTTGATATTATTTTTCTTCTTCCTTAACTGACAGGCATCTGCAAAACATTTTGGATTCAAAAAATTGTCATTTATATTTGTATTTTATCTATTTATAAAAACAAAAAGCAACTAATCATCCTTTAACTTCTTCCAGGCTCTTTTCTCCCTACATTAAGCAAAAGATAAAGCCCCATTGGAAACATCAGTTAGGGAGTTAAAACTTACGGTGCAACACTGCAGGGGTTATAAGTGATATCTTTGCTTTTATTAAATGAAGAATATTAAACGCCTTCCACTTCTCCATGACTGTGCCTTATGCAAAGTAACTCGTAAATGCATTTTTAAATGAGATCAACCAAACGTCTCTTGGCAAATACAACCTTTTGAAAACTGTAATTGTGCTTGTTAGGTGTGGTAGCTATCTTCTTCAGATACAAAAAGAGTGCTCTGGTACTTTCTCTGCAAGGGAGTCTGTTAGTTAAGGAAGCCAAGTGGAGACTCACTGGAATGGAGTACCTCCCTGCCCTCCTCTCCCCAGCTGTGGTGACCAGGGTGCACCTCATGGTTGTAACTGTGTGATCTCCTCTTTATCCAGGACAAGGCCTCACAACTTGATGTAAATTCCTGGAAACTAACAAAAATGCTTATGAGATTTATATATCTCAGACCATCAGTTTTTCTTCCCTTCCTCTTCCTTCTCACTCATTCGTCTTTAATTTAGTGCAGTATACTTGTGTATGTTTTCAAAATACATCTCAAGACAATGCTGAGAAAGAGCTTTTTTTATGGTTGCACTGAAAAGAAGAAAAAGTTAGGGAGACCCAACACCCCAGACAAGATTCTCACCTGGGGCTAACAGTTGCAGGCCCAGGAAGGCTGTATGCTGCTGGCTGATGCCCAGGGAGGTCCTGGTGATTCTGGTTTTCTTACTGTAAAGAGAACTGAATTAACATTTAGATGTCAGCCCTTGCTTCAGCAGCGTTACCAGCCTGCAAGAAGCAATCCAGGCCCGAGTGTGCAGGCGTAAGGCTCTGCTGTGGGAGCTGGGGCGCACACAGCAGTAGGAGCTGGTGGTCTTGCCCACCCCAGCTCCGGAAACAGGGGGAAGGTTGATGTCTTCCATCGTTCCCCAAGGCTGCCCTTTTGCAGAAGGACATCATTCTCAGAGCTCGTGATTCGCACCTTTAGGAAGTGCTGTGTTAGCTGTAGGGGCGTGTATGTGAGCTGTAGCCAGCACATGATCCCAGCAGTGCCAGGCCCCTCAAAAGCGAGGCCAACCCCGGGTATGGCAGTGCCGGTGAAGAAGCTGGGACGGGTGGGTGACACGCTCTGCCCATGGGAGGGGAAGGTGGCTCCTGGTATTAGAAGATTCTGTTATTATCTGGTGCCAGCAAGCCTGGCTCTACAGAGCAGGAGCTCCTGTCCACCGTGGGGGCTCTCACTCTCAGCCTGGTCCCTGGACAGCAGCTTTCCTCTGCATCTGACCTCTCAGCCCTGCAGTGGCTGCAGTCACTTCTGCCTGCCTTTCTGGGAAATCTGAGGCTGGCTTTGCTTAATAACGAGACAAATGATTGATTGCTGTCCCCTTGGGCTAATTGTGAACATAACCTATTCTTTCCTCTTCTCCAGGGCCCCTCTTTCCACAGAGTAAAACCCGACCACACACCAAAAAAAACCACCCATCCACCCCAAAACCAACCAAACAAAGAAATGAACTTGCTGTTCAAGTGGAAAGAAATAAAGAGCAAAATGAAGGAGAGGACAGAGCAGTTTTCTACACTCGTTCTTTCCAGATGCTCGTAATTGTGCAACCAGGAGTCTGCTTTTCTCTGAGAACTGCAGGCATTCCTGTCACTGGGAGACTAAACTGAATGCTGAAAATCGCTCGGTAGCCTTTCATCCAGAAGTATTCTGTTGCAGTGTCATTGTATGAGACTCTCTGCTTTCACCTTGCTCTTTTTGACCGCTTCTATAGCTCACTGCCACTGCTATTTGCCAGGAATTTCCTAGCATTTCCCTCTGGTACTTTCACTGTCATCAGGTAAATGTTATTGGGAACTTAGTACTTTAACCATCATTTCTGTACCCGTGTTAGTATGTATGCCTATATATAAATTACTTGTTTTAATCTGGAGTGGAACAGTGCGGACCAATTCTGGAAATAAGTAAATGTTTGTTCAAGGTAAATGCTTGTTGTCTGCTGATGGAGTATGCTGTTCTCTTTAACAGAATTGTGCTAAAATTAGTCTTCAAAATAATATGCTGGATTTGAAAAGCAGCTATATTTAATTATTAATTTCTGTAAATAAATAATAGCAGTTGTGAAGTCTCTGCTCAGTGCTCTGGAGCTTCAGCCATGTTTGAATACCTGTACTTGACAGTTCTCTTGCAATAAATCCATGCCAATGTTTGGTTATTTAAGACTTAGCAACCAGGGGACCTTAATTTCACTTGCATGAGGTTCTCTTTACACAGTTTGGAATGAGGAGCCTTTAACAGGAGATTAAATTGTTTGCTTGCACTCTGAAATTTCTTTGTTTTGTCACCGTGGTGTATATTGGCTATGGTATAAATGAGAATTAGACTTGGAGTGGGCACGATAACCAAACGAGTGAAGAACCGAAACAAAATCCAGCCCCTAAAACCAGATGTAGGAGGTTGCTAGATAAAATGAGATGGATGAGACTTATGGTAAGTGTCAGTCTGGACACTCCACAAATATTTAAGGGTTCATAATAATAACTGTTTTCACTTGGCTGTCCTTTAATGGGTGGAATGACGGTATTACTCTGATAAGTTTTTGCCCTGGTCAGCTTGTAGTAAATATCTTGGAATGAATGTGGATAACTTCAGCTTCTTTAGGCTGTTGAGATGTGATTTCCTACAGATAGTAAGTGCAATTCAGAAAAATACTAATTAATTGTATGTGATGTAAAAAGTGGTTCTTGATCTCCTGGTCTTTACTGAAATCAGTAGCCTAAATATGGTGGAAGTTGCAGTGCAGTCTTCTAACTTCTCATTTTTTAAATAAACGCCTCATTACTAGTATGTAACGCTGCTGGAAAAGAAAGCACTGAATAATGAAACATGAATTATTTACGCATTTTCTAAATTTTTAATAGCCAAAGCTGCTATCAGAACAGGAAATAAATAGTATGAATATTTTTTTAAAATAACAATTGTAACTGCTACCTTTTAGATGCACAAAAAGCACATAGATTTGGGCAAGTGATGGAAAAAAAATTGCTTCTCATCTCCTTTTTTTTCTTTTTCCCCCCTTTTTATAATAGGGCTTTATCTGTCCTCTCTGTATGAAGTCTCATGGATCAGCTGAGGAGCTGTTCAAGCACTATGAAGCGGTTCATAATTCTGGCATTGATTCAACTCGTGGAGGGGAAGGTCATCTGTCACCGGAAAGGTGGAACACTACTCATTTGTGCATGTGCTTTTGTGTCAGTGTTGAGCTGCTTCTAATTACACTGAAGGCAGTATTAATTTGAAGACTTAATTACGTACTGAAGTATTTAAATGTTCGTGTCCTATTTCCAACTATAATTAAAAAGCAGCTTGAAACTTCCATTGGTTGATATTAATCTGACAATAAATGAAAACCACTTGTTTAGGTTTAAATTGTTAATTCTGTTTTTCATGCATCTGTTTTTCATGCATCTGAGAATGTAGTGTAACAAGCTGGAACGATTTTTAGGAGTGTGTCAGAAAAATACTGCTTTATCCTTATTTGCATCATAGAGCTGAAATTTCATCTTTGGAGCTTGGGGCGAGGACAACCCTGACTATACAGGAGAAACCTGATTTTATCCCTTTGTGGTTAGAGTTACTGGGTAAAAATAACATCAGTTTTTGCCTGAATAGGTTCCCATATTACCAAGCTACCTGCAAATCTGAGAAGTCTCTGTTGCACTCAGTTTCCTTCCACGTTCCAGAAACTCCATCCTCATTTGCAGAAATTTTCTCTAAATTATTTTGTTTAACTCTTTGGTCAAAAGCAGTGTGTTGAATATATTCCTAGGAAATGTATCAGTCTGTTTTATTTCTGAGACCAGCAGACACTGATGAGATGAACCTTACTCTTGGTAGAACAGTTTAGAGTAGCTGCCTGTGTTTGAGTAATCCCTCACGTTGGTTTGGGGAACTTTTTCTTACAGATAAAGTTTACACAGGGTTCATTTTCCTTTATGCTGGTTCTTTTTCTATTTGTGGGTTATCGTGGATGGTTGTAAACGACAGTCCACATTCCTGTTTGGTCCCCCCTTCTCCCCTGACCAAACTCTCTCTTTTGGTCTTTATGCAACAGTGTCTCAGTGAGCAGCTGACTGGCCTCACTCAGCAAACAGAGGTACCCACTTTAAAACCCTGCAAGGTATCCCCTAATAATGGAGCTGGCTTCTGCTGCTGCTGGGAAGTAAACCGTTCAGGTGTTTGTAACTAGTAGAAACATGACCCAAAATGATAAATGATCACATTGAAAAATACATGCAAGTATATAACTTGTGAAAGGTTGGTACTTTGGTGAGAGAAGTGTGTGGAAGGCAACATATTTCAGTAATTACCCAAGTGAAGATCCTTGTCTCCCCAGTGTTGTGCAGACCAAGCCGGTTAGAGCCAATGTTATCAGAGGTCTTGTCTTCATGCACGGATGGGCCCTTCCTTATGAGCTCTGTTCTTTCACAGCTGCTGTAGGTTTCTGGCTGTGCTCCCTGAAAAAGTAAATTGCAATGCTTCTTAAAGTGAGCATGCTGCAACCCGAACTGTTCGAGGGGAGTAGAATTTTCTTATTATTTTTTTTTTTCAGTGGTGCTATTTTTATGATCATTTTTATCCACAGTGTTCTCCAAATGTATGAAAAGCAAACAAGAGCCAATAAGATGCGGAGGATAGTTTGAAATAAAAGGAATTGTGTAGCTTGGGGAGAACAAAAGAAATCAAAATTCAGGCTTTATATATGAGGAAATAGTATGGTACTAGCAGAGCTATTTTGGGTTTCCTATGTGCACATTTACTCAAGAATGAGTATTTCTTCTTTGATTTAAATCTTTTCAAAGTGATATAACTTGGATCCAAAATAATACTTGTAGTAGAATAATAGCATTCACATGGGGGAATTATTGGTCATAACTATATTGTTTATATAGTTTATGAAAGATTTATTTTTATGCCTGCAAGTTTCCAATGTCAACCAGATGTTGGCTGGCAAAATATATATATCTTTTCTGACTCTTGACAGTTGAAGAACAAGTGGTTTTGTTTTCTCTCATATAATTGAAAAAGTGAACAAGGTCAGGGAGCTTGGATGGAGTGAAGGGAGTCTGAGAGCTGTTGTGTAACACACAAGCTATTTCTTCCTGTTAGTGGCATTTTCACATGTTTCTCAGTTGCATGTCTTCTTGAGAAAACTCTCGTTCAACATAAACATGTTTTTTCAATACTCAGAATACTGCATTAAAGAAGTATTCCAACCTGCAGCAGGGGGCCACTCTGCTAGTGGTCTAGCAGCAAAGTCTGCACATGATTCATGAAACTAAGTTTGGTCTGTGAAGTTCCTTATTTAGTCAAGAGAGAGAGACAGGTATGATGAATTACCCTGTGTCCTCCCGCCCCACCTTCAGTCAAGTGCTGTAACTAGGGCCAAGAATAAATCATGTAACTCCCCAGAGCAGTTGAGCTAGGGCACTGGTACTCAGTGTTTGGATGGAGGCAGCAACGTTAGCATTTGGGAATAGAGAGGAGCGTAAGGAAAAGGCAACAGGGGTTTGCTGGATGGGGAGATGCAGGAGATGTGCTGAAAAGAAGACAAAACTGACAGCACTAGCGGAAAGGGAGATTTAGTGAGGATTTGGATGGCAGTAAGAAAAACAAAGTTACAGTTCTAGAGTGATCAGTTACACTTTTTTCCTTCTTTCCTGTTCATTTTCTGCTGGGCAATTAAGCCAAATTTAGGTTTTGTCTTATAAATGTCAAGCAAGACAGCGTTGGGAATATTGAGGCAACTATGGTAGAAGGGTGTTTTTTCTTGTTTTTCCCCTTTCCTCCCCTTCTTCTTCCCATATATTATGAGCTATTTTTTCAACAGTTCAAAACTTAAAGAACAGAGCATACTAAATGGTTTAGAATTGCAGATCTGGTATGTGTTCAGGCCAGGCTTTAATGTAGTTAATTGTTTCACCTGCCTGACATTTCATTTGTAATCTACCATGTGAATATTAGCTGATTTACTTAATACTGGTGAGAAAGTTGCTCCTGCTTTTCCACCCCCAAGCAACGTATGGGTTTTGAATTGCAGTTACACCTGTCTCATTAAAATTGTATTTATGAACCTCCAGTTTATCTCACACAGGCCAAATAATGTGTAAAAAGCAAAAAATCTTCTGACAAAAATATCCTCCCAATATCACATCTTCATTTCACCATTAAAATTGGCAATTCTTGGAGTTTCTTTATTGTTCATTCGAGTGAACATATTTTGCTTGCTTCTTGATGACCCTGACCTGTTGCTAATGTGAACTGTAGGTTGAGTCTGTTCCTTTGCAGTTTAGCTAAGAAATAACTTACTTTGTTTTGTTTTTCTCAAAGTATGAGACAATTTAAAAGAACACCCGTGGAGGAGGGGATAATGCAGCACATGAACAATAAAATTGTATGGTGTAAAACAGAGAGAATATGTTGCTATTGTCACCCACATATACATATTCTGTGTGCCTCTCAGTTATGCCACCATACGAGCAATAGGAAAGGATTTGTTTGCATGGTTTTAATGATCTACGTATTCTACACTTGAAGTGGCCATATCTCAGAGATGCAACATTATAATTGTGTGTATTGCTATCTCCTTCTGTAAGGAGAACTGAGATTTAGAAAGGTGCTTTCTAACCACAATTTAGCCTTGCATCTTGTGTTCTTGCATGGCTGGAGGCTTGAACATTAAATTTGAGAATTTTAAATCCCATCACTTTAGGCATTCAAACTATTAAGTGAATGTATCTGAATTGTTATGTGAATGAAAAATTATGTAACTACGTATTTCTAAAATAGCATGCTGTCTCTTAGCATTGTTCCTTATGTGATATGGGAAGTGAAGGAGAATAGACCTGTCCTTTTCATGACAAAGCATGTTAAACATCCCAGTGCACAGCTGTGCAATTTTGAACTCGTGGTCAACCTGATGCACTGAATTAGATTTGCATTTTGTTTTTGTTTTCATGAGATTTTTTTCAAATCTATTTCTTTGCTTAGCCAGTGAATGTTTCAGCGTTTTTTGGGTGATGTGCAAAATGAACTAATAAGTATCTATTATGCACTTTGTTCCAAATTTAAAAAAATATAACTGTATTTATGTAAGTTATACTTTTGTATGTAAGTTATACTTATGTAGCATATGCCTGTAACTGTCTTGCGGTTATTTAATATACATTATAACCTGTACATAATTGACAAAAATATAATGGCTGCATATTAATTTTCTCCACTCCATGGATATATTTATTCAGAGATGAAGTATCACTGCTCCGACAAGAAGTACAAGACTTGCAAGCTTCACTGAAGGTTGGAAAGATATTTTACTTGCATGTATTTCTCTGTTTCAAACTACAAATTAAGATGTTCCAGTATCTTGATTAAACAAATTTACAGTTCTCTTTCCCCCATCTCTTTTTTTTCTTTCTAGGAGGAGAGGTGGTATTCAGAAGAGTTGAAGAAAGAACTAGAAAAATTGCAGGGGCAGCGGCAGCAAGTAATTGCTTTAAAATACTTGAAGCAGGTTTATCATCAGCATTGACATTGAAGATTAATACCTTTTTTGTAAGGCACGTGGCCTGATTTAGTTAGTTCCATAACTTGAATATTGACATGTTCTTGGAAATAAAGCTAGTTATCTCTCCACAGTGTTAACTATACATAAATATGAAGAAAAAAAGCTAAGAGAAGATAATGATTCTTCCATACTGCTTACAACATGTTCAGTTCAGACTTTTCTTTCTGTTGAGCTTTCTTGTAAAAACAGAAAAACAAACAAAAAACGTGGGGAAGAATAGTAGTGTGATTTCACAAGTCTATATGAACTGAACAAACAATTGAAAACAAATTAGTGTGTTGTGCCCTAAGGAAACTCACTTAGTTCCTATAAGTACTTAGATAACTATAAGCTACTTGGATATTGGATTGATATGAACCTCAGAAATTATGTTCTGACAGAATGCCTTCTCAGATGTATTTAATAGTGTCTGTAACCTGTGTTTTAGGTCAGATTTCAATATTAAGGAAAAGAAAGGGGAGGGGGTTTAGAGTCTTGCAAGTCTGGAAGTTTGATAGCAATACAAGAAATAGAAAATCATCTTGTCCTTTTCTTCCAGATATAAAAATACCTGATTTCAAACAGTTATACTGCAGTATATGAGCATAGAAATCTTAATTTTTGTCTTTTCCAAAAGTGGGATGAACTTTTGAAGTAGTAGTTTTTATTCCTGCTGTATAATGAAGCATTTATCCTTCTGTTTTCTTAAGGATTCTAAGTCTGATGGATTGACAACATCTGCATCTACAGGTGGCTAACATTTTATCGTATTAATAATATGAATTATGTTGGGTTTTCTGAAGTTTTGTTCAGTGTAGCTTTTGGGTTGATGAAAAAGCAGTTTTGGTAAGCTAAAAACATAACATGCTGAAATAGTACAATTACTGAAGCACTTGCTTGTGTTACTTGTTTTAAGACAGCTGTAGTGTAGGGAAATGTTACAGAGGCTTGGGGTCTGTGATTTGTAAAAGTGAGAGTTTTCCTGCCTGTAAAAGCAGTTCTGTATTAGTAGTTTTAAACTTGTTTTAAATCATTTAATGTATTCAAGCATTCAGTTCAAGTCTTCTGCAGAGAAAGACCATGGCTGTATACATTTAAACTGTATCAGTGCTGGTTTTATTCAGTGTTCTTCTGTACTGATTGCTAGCAAAGAAAATGATGAATTTTGTTGTTTTAGTTGTTTTCCAGGCCAATAATTTTTGTACCATGTTTGTTTTCCATGAGGTACTCATGGAATAATTTTTTTCCTAACGTATCCATAAAGTATCTGATCATGATTAAAGAGCTTTTAATCACAGTTCAGGGCTCATACTTCAGCACCATGTTACAGTGATTGAAGGGCTATTTGTGACTGGTGAAAACCAATATGTACTTAATTTTGCATAGAACTCTACTAGTAGCAGGTTCCACTGTCAAGCTCATAGATATTTAACTTGAGTAAAGTCACTCACTTTATTAAGGTAATTGGATTAGCAAAGTGAACTTAGATTAATTTTTTATCTGCTGTGGTTTGTTATTGATGTGAGTAACTGTATAACCTTGTCCTAGCAATTCTGGAAATTAATACTGTTCTTTTTATGGAAATAGAATCATTAGAACGACAACTAGAAGAGATCCAAGTAGAAAATTTTAACATTAAGCAAATGAAAGACTTATTTGAGCAAAAAGCAGCACAACTGGCCACTGAAATTGTGGGTGAGTAATGAGGTCTGATTCTGTTCTCTGCTTATGTAGCTTGTGCAAGTGATCATTTATTCAACTTCCTTCTTAATTAGATCTTAAAGCAAAGTATGATGAAGAAATCAGCCTTCGGGAAGGTGCAGAACAGAAATTGACAAACCTAACACAAGAACTGCTGAAGGAGAGACGTACAATAGAAGACTTAAAGACAGAGCTGGTATTCATATCACACTATTAATGTTTTTATAACTTTTGAGTCAAGGGGAAATATACCTACCTTATAAACACAGCTTTAAATTAGACAAACTGTTGAGATTGCAGACATCTGATTGTGGGTTAAAAGGAGGTTCAGAACACTATTGTTTCTGCTCTTTTTCAGTGACTTAAATTTTCAACATTTTCCCGGTGTATATTAAAATTTACCATAAGTTATGTTGTAGTCTGCTTGTTTGATGCTCTGCACTTCAATAATTTTTCAGAGTATTACAGCTCTGGATATTACACAGTCCTGCACTTGGTGAATGCCGTTGTTGACTTCAGGAGCTGTCTTTAGATCACCCTTTTTCCATGAGGTGTTACACTATGACTGTCGCTGGACAGCTGCATTCATAAGGAGTGTTCACAGACGTGCTCCATGACATGGTGGCTAAATGTCTGGCAGCTGTCATCTGTTAATGTTTTCCATCTTGCTTTTGGCTGATGATACTGATATGTGTGTATTCCAAGATTTTGGCTCATGGTGACTTTTAGAGATAGCCATGGCTTCTGGGAATGATCTCCATGACTCAGAAGTCGTGCTGCTTCCAAAGCAGTGGCTAAGGGACTTCCTAAATTCTTTCTTGTCTTCCACTCAACCACTGCAAAGACTCCAGAGGACAGTAGGATGGTGTTTATTCCCCTTCTTCCCTGTAGTCAGCTGTCCTCAAATGTTTACTGGTTCCTCTTGGCCCTGACCAGCCACTGGGACCTATCCATTCCTCTCTACCTGTTTAGTTTTGTCTTCCTTTCTCCTTCTAAACTAAAAGAGGGTAAATTCAGTTTAGATATAAGGTATACATTCTTCACTCAGAGTGGTGAGGCACTGGCACAGGTTGCCCAGAGAAGCTGTGGATGCCCCATCCCTGGAGGTGCTCAAGGCCAGGCTGGACGGGGCTTTGGGCAGCCTGGGTTGGTGGGAGGTGTCACTGCCCATGGCAGGGGGGTTGGCACTAGGTGATCTTTAAGGTCCCTTCCAACCCAAACCATTCTATGATTCTACATTCCTACCCTTTTTCCTGTACCTGTTCTCTACAAACTGAGAGCACTTTTCTCATCTTTCTTCACTGCCCAGTATTGCCTTCTACATTCCTTCACTCCATGAGTCTTCTCTTGGTAGGACTTCATGGTGCTTTAGATATAATTACCAGCAAATTTTACGTATGGGTCTAGAGTGAAGTGTATCTGACAGTTCCTTCAAATATCTCCTTCAGTTGCCCTTTTTTTTTTTTTGTCTGTTGTTTTCTGAAATAGAAGTTCTTGAAGACATAAACAGTATCATTCTAAATCTGTCTTCTACTGGATTGTTATATGTCTCAGTCATGAGAGGGGCTTGTGTGTTTTACAGCAGTATAACATATACAGTAATTTGTTCCATAGAGTAGTAGAATCAATGTAACCTACTTCTCATGGCATTATGACTTCAGATAAATTTATTGCATGGATTCCTTGTCACTTCAGTGTTTTCTCTGAGTGAAGACCTCCTATACTTAGCCATCTACCTACTTGAAAATTGTAGGAATTCAGTCTCTGGGACCTTATCCCTTTTTGTCAGCTTTAGTTGATAACGGAAAACAAGTTCAAAATTTAGAAGGCAAGAACTGACAATCAGGCATTAGATCCTATTTCCTTTGGGAACAATACATACTTTGTTTTGTTGTTGTTATTCCAGCTATAATACTATGTATGTCACCTTGTCTATAACTTGGTTTGAAAGATTTTGAGAGATGAAGTTTGATGCTGGAAGAATGTCTGCCAACATCATATTGCTCATTCCTACTTTTCTACTTTCCAGCTACAAAGGCCTGGTGTGGAAGATGTGGCCGTCCTGAAAAAGGAGCTGGTCCAAGTTCAGACGCTGATGGACAAAATGACTTTGGAGCGTGAGAGAGAATCTGAAAAGCTGAAAGATGAGTGCAAGCACTTACAGGCAGAGCAGGCGAACTCAGAGGTAATAGTCATACCAAAAGACATGTGTATTACCTTTGATGATATTTTTTTCATATGAAAACGGAAAATATAAATTTATAGTAATGAAAAAGCTTTGTTCTTAATAGGATCTCTGACTTATCTGAGAGACATGTTTATTCAATATTAACAGAATTATGCAATTTACTGTATTTACCCTCGAAACACCCCCATGCTTTTTGTTGCAAAACCTTTTCTTGGCAGAAAAGTTATTACAAGAGCCTAATAGCAGAGCAGAAGACCTTCTGGTAGAGCTATGTTCTTTCTACTTGGAGAGAGAAATAGAGCAGTACTTGTGTGATTCAGAGAAGTGTTTCTGATAGTGAGCTACATGTAGATAAAAACAGTTATTGAAAATTATGGCTTTAGTTTAATATTAGAGTTGATGTGTTTGAAAATGGATGCTAGAGTGTTAAAATGTATGAGAAGAATTATTAATACAAAGTAGATAATTTGAGGACATGGAATTATAGGACATGTAACTCTTAAGCTTACTGAAGATTTAAAAAAATCTCAATGGATGTTATGTATATATATGGTTTTCATTTTTCTTTATCTAGCTTTCACTATTGAATTTGGAAACCTTTCTACTGCTAGTATTTATTGGAGATATATTTTGTGTGTAAGATACAAATCTCTTTCTCCTCCTTGCCAAAATCTACTACATAATAGCCTCCAAATGTTGCTTGTTATTCACTAGATGAGAAAGTGAGTGGTTCCCAGGCCTCTCACCATGGCTTAAAGTCAAGATGGCAGTATGTCACTTATAGTCTGTTTCAGGCAACAGCATTGTAGTTTTCTTCCCTCTTTGCTCTTTTCCTTGAGTTAGTTACTTTATTGTTAGCATTTTTTTCTCCATAGTTCCTTGGATTTAAAGCTTTTACATTCCATCTGTAAATTGGAACCTCACTGCTATTTGAGTTGTGGAATATGCTGGTTTCTTCTCAGAATTACTTTCTGAAGGCTTGCTTCTCTTTTGGCTGAGTCAATGGAAGATGTCTTAAATTGCTGATGGGAGATTTGAAAGCATTTGTCCACTTCTGTTATTCATGTATATACCACTGATGAGAACTCTGTGTAGGATGCAAAACTACCTAGCTTTCCCATAGCAAATGTTTGTGGATTTTCTTTTGTGTGTGTTTTTTGTTGTTGTTTGTATGTTTGTTTTTTCTTGGTTTTGGTTCCTCTGCTTTTCCAGTACCGAAAGCTTCCATTTCCACGCAGGCTAGAGTAAAAGCAATGCAAGAGCTCTGATTTGGATTTTTTAAGTGGAATCTTACTCCTCAAACTGTCCTGAGGTAGAGTCATGTCACATCTCTCCTGGCTAAGGCCTGTTTGATGTTTAACACAATAGTAAGGGAAGAGTTGTTGACAAGAAATCCTAATAAAAATCCACTATCACCAAGAAGGCTTTGTCTAACATTATTTATTCTGCAGAAGAATTCTTGTACTAGGTGTTGCATCTTACTTGTGGTTGGCGTAACTTGACTAACTGTCGTTCCCCCACCACTGCAACAAGGCCAGCAAAATGATGCAGAATTATGGTCCCTAGTTAAACATGTTCACTGCAGAATTCCTCAGCTTACATGAGGAAAGGAGTAGAGTTTCTGTAGGATTTATACTATCCTCCATCCTGCTGAGACTTCTGAACATGAAGAATTCCTGGCATCTTGTTGTCCTGGGGTTTCATGTGTCCTAGATTTCAGAAATGCAATTTTAAATTTCTAGTTCTTAATTTTCACTGAAGAACTTCAGAGAAGCTCTGCCCTGTATTATTTTAAACTCCTTAGGGCTTTCCATCCTGCCTTCCCCTGAACACTCCAACAGATATGCAGAGCTCCAGGAATTGTACAAGTGTACAGGATAGAACTAAATGAATCTACCATTGTTTTCAATTTAAAATTATGCATGCCAAGAGCTTCATCATACATGAAAAAAGGAGTATCACAGTTGGAATTAGGAATATGATGTGGTTATGTGGCCATGTAAGTTGCTGCATAATTGTAATTTGGTTTTAACTGTGAGATCCCACAACTATGCTGCAGAATTCAAATTTCTTTTCAAAATACAGTCTTTGTAGTCTCTTGTGGTTTTGGATATCGTAGTTAGTTTTCATGTGAAGATAAAATGACATAGTGACAGGGGCGTAATGAAAATCTATCAACTGGAAACACTCACAGCAACATGAATTGTTCCTGTTTCCTCAAATTAGGTATGTTTTTCTGACATAACTAGCCATTTTAAAATTTAGCTTTAACATGCAGCTTTTAACAGGAAAAAAGACAAACAAGAAGGTTTTTCAGTCCTGATGGGAGTAATGGCAAATGGAGGAGAAGGCTGCATGATAACCCTGGCTGCTCCCAGAAGAACAGTCTAAGAAGTCTTAGATGTTATGGAAGGTTTATAAAGTACAGTGTAGTAATTATAAATTGGGTACCTATGTAGTATCATCAGCATGACCTGCTGCATGAAAGAATATGGTATGCAGGGGCAGTCTGTTTCTTCTTAGAATAGTTACTGTCTTCTCTGCTTAATTCAACATAGGACAACAATAGTCTAAGGCATAGGTAGCAAGACATATTCAAAATAAAAGCTTTTCTGTCATTTCAAAGTGTCAGTAGGTTACACTTTAAAAAACAAAACAAAACTGAGTTCATAGTGGTGAAAACTCTACTTTAAAACAAACAAACAAAACTATATCTTTGAAAAGTATTAGCCATAAGAAAACAAGAAGTGGAAATTCATTGTTGGTCAGAATTAGTGCAGTTTTGTCCATAAAAGTTTGGCTGTGTTACACCTCAGCTTTGTTCTTTAAGTCAACTTCAAGGCTGAAAGAGTAAAATGGTTCTTGGCCATTTTGCTGGGATGGGTGAGACAATGTTTATTAATACTGGTTTCCAAAGTGACACTTCTTTAAAATAAGATAGATTCATAGTCTGGGTGAAGAGAATAACAAAGGTCTTCCTAACTCTAAATGGGCACCTTAAACACTACAGGAAAGGGAGAACGTGAAGGATAGTGTACATCTGCAGTTGTCACCTAGACGTTTTCATTATTGTCCTTTCGTTTTGTTGGGTGTTACACCCTTATTTCAGAGTTGTGCCTGAAGCTCTGGTGAAACTCTGGTGTCTGGTTATCTACCTCAGAAGAACGATCATCCTGAGATACTCCTTCCATGTATAGATTCACTATAGGGAATCCTGTATAATGAACACATTATGAAAACAACTGCACTGCTGTAGAGCTAAGCATTTCTATGAATCTCTGCAGATTGGGATTTGTTTCAGTATCTGATAAATGTTCCTACAGATTGTTATGTTGAATGTCTAAGTTATTAAACAAGATTAGTAGATTAAGTTATGGAAAAAATTGATAAAGACAGGACTGTTTTTTTTTTCTTCTTTCTTTCTTTTTTTTTAAACTAAGCATAGGCCTTAAACCCAGCAATATTTGACAACAAATTTGAGGAAGCTTATCTGCTAACAGCTTTTGTCACTGCTTATTTCCATCTTTCATCCATCCATTTTATTTTTTTTTCTGCTTTCTAATGGAGACGCTTAAATTTGAGGTAACTTTTTTGAAAACTTCTTATTGTTACATTAGTTTTCTGTCTTACCAAGATAATTTTAGGAGGTTGTTAAACAGGTGAGTTCCTATTTGCTTATTGTTCTATCCCTTAATTTTTCATTAATCATATATACACATCAACCAGACAATATCTGGAATGAATACTCATCCATGATATATTCCCATTTTAAGAATGAAATACAGGACAGCTCTTTGATTTGTAATTGAGAAAAGTGTATCTTAATGCATATAAATTATGGTTCTAGTTTGAATGGTTGCAGTGGCAATCTTAGCAAGGTTCTGCATATCTTCTCTCAGTAGTGAAAGCTGTTTTCTAAGAACATCCTGGAATGTTTGTCTGCGATATTTGATATTTGAGATATTTGTCTGAGATATTTGTCTAAGATACTTGTCTGCCCAGGATATATTTTAACTAACAGCTGTTTAATATAACAGCCTTGTAAAGTACAGGATTACAGAAACTCAGTATTAATAATGATACGTAGCCACACAATAAATGTGTTCATATCTTCTCTTTGGTCATCCTTTTTACATAGGAACGTCATGATATGTTTGTTGTCTACTACTTCTGATCTTCTACTTTAGTTCATTCTTGAATTCAGCATTTATATCTTTCTGCTTAATCTGTGGTTGTGAGAACAGTAGGAAAAAAATGAAGGTCATTGAAATAACGTATTTAAAGTGAGTGGATTCATACAGAACATTTCATTTTCTATATTACAAATATTCAAGGAAGCTTCATTGGCGTGTTTGTCAAAAAGAAGCTGAGCATTAATAGCAAGTACGTCAACTGCTAGCTTCTGGTAATGTACTAAAAATGTGTTTTAATTAGGTAACTCAGTATTCATTAACCTTCTGTAAAAACAATTACCTATTCTGTCCAGCATAAGAATCAGATTTTACTTTTTAAAATTATATACGGAGAGATCCCACTTTTGAAAGAATCCTTTTTTTTTTCTTTTACTATTTTTTTTACAAGTTCTCTGATATCTGCAGAAGGTCACAGGGTGACTGAAATACATGATATTATTTCCCATTAAATTGAGCACAACATGCTTTAGGGCAGCTTTTGTTACCCATCTAAAGTCTTTTTTGTTTGTTTTTCTTACTGTATACAAATACTATGTGGTCATTGGTATATTCTGTTTTGTACTAATCCTGTCTGATAGGGTAGTATTTGTATCCTGATTATGCTGACCTGCAAGGTCAATGTATCCAAAAGTCATACACCAAGTTTGCATCAGATGCCAGACTCAAAGCTTCTAGTACCTTTTCTAGTGCTTTATTCTTACAAGGCAGGCAAAGGTTTTGGTAGTATAACCCCAATGATTTTTGGGGGGGAGGGGCTTCACCTCGAGCTAGAACTGTGATAATGATTAATGGATAATCTGTTGTGATTTTCAGTGCTTGTGGGCCCAACATGGTGTTTTCTATAGGGCTGGGGCAAATTTTGTCTTCTGAAATAGCATGTGAATTAATCTTTACTGGGAAATTATGCTCATTGGTACTTCTATAGCTGATGGTGCTCTGAGATGAGTTGAGTTTTCAGGAGTTTTTTATTTATTTATTTATTTCCCTTCCTTTAGCTGTTTATTTGTATACAAGATGCCTTTTATTTTGCTACCAAACATATTGCTTCGGTTTGGGTTATTCACAGCTTTGCTTTAAATGTGGATTTTGTTTGTTTGTTCAGGCTACCATTAATCAGTTAAGAGCTGAACTTGCCAAAGGACCTCAGGAGGTAGCAGTGTATGTTCAGGAGCTGCAAAAACTTCAAAGTTCAGTCAAGGAGCTAGAACAGAAAAACCAGGTGAGAATACTGTTATTTCCTATACTTGTCAGTTCACATTAAAATGGAAACGTACCACACATTGCCTTGGGAAGTGTTGAAGACTGTAACAAAACACTTCTTGGTGTTGCAGAAGTTGCGAATTCCTTTACCATTTCACTTAGCATATGAAGGATATTGTAATGTACAAGCAAACAGTGTTTTTTAAATGATCATCAGTACATTTCAACTTAGCTACTCTGGCTTGTGTTTTCAGGTTTCTAACTGCTGTAGTTTATGCAGCATTGCCATCTCACACATTAGAAGAATAAAGCTGTAACGATCAAAATATTGTGATGTTTCTGTAAAAATCAACATTCAGAAGGCGTTTTGAGATCTCATTGTTAGTCTTACACTATCTTTGCTTTTATACCAGTGTTGTACTAGTGTTGTATTTTCTGACCTTTTATTAGAGTCATGAATGCTGGAAAATTGAAATAAACTCCTGAAGCTTCTTAGCTGATAAGTACTTCTTGAGAGCTTTTATCAAAGCCTGGTGAGCTTGCTGCATTTTGCATTTGCATTAAGAAAGCATGTAGTGTTAGGTAATAAATAGATGTAAGGAAAGAAAGGAGACAAGGAAAAAGATGTATATTGGTTATTGTTGTGCGTGTGTATATAATACCGTATGTATACTGTGAACTTTACATTTGTATTTAACAGCAACATTGTCAGTCTTGGGGGAAAAAATGGAAAGGACAGGGACCAAGCAGTATATATTTAAAGTAATTTAATATTTAAAAACCCTTTAAAAAGATATAATAGAGTACAATTTGGTAAATTAAACTTGGCTTTGGTAGTATGACTCCTGTTTTGGCTCATAAAATAAAGTGCAGAACTGAGATGGTGAGAATTATCATGCTGTTCTTTCCACAGACCAGCAACACTGAATAAAGCTTGTGGCAAAATTATTTCTATAAAGCACAGGGCACTTGCCTGAATGTATTGCTGTTGTATTTACAGCATGAAGTGAAACAGATTGATGAATAAGATGACTATACTTTAAGAGAGTGTCCTCTGCCATGTCAGGTTAACACCAAACACCACATGAGGAACAGAGAGAGCAGAAGTGGCAGCGGGCTTTTCTTGTTTCAGTGACTTAAAGCAGTTTACAGCTTATGTAGCTTATGGTATGCTAGCCAAGGAACCTTGGCCTTGGAGGACTTGGACCTAGAGTAGGAAAAGGTAAGACTAGCTTTCCAAACAACAGAAATTGCCCTACCTTCAGTGTGTGCTCCTTGAAGAAGCTGTCAGGAAGGCAGGACGTGCTATTAGCTGCATCCATACATGATGTTTTGCTGTGTACATCCTTGCATAATTTCATTCTAATGCACGAAGATATTTCTGTGCATTGATGCAGAGTTTTCCAAGATCATGTACAACCTCAAGTAAGCAAGCCATTTCTTGTATTTCTGGAAGCTATACTGAGAAGAGCAGATGACAAGCACATAAGATCAGTTTTCTGAGAACAGTAGGAATTGACTTCCCTTCATTTATAAAACTCTGTAATTATGGGGCTTGGCCTGCTTTGCACTGCCAGGCAATGCTTTGGAGGCTAGTAATGGCCTGTAGCCCAGAGGAGACCTAATGTGAAAAAACAGCATCTCCGCTGAAGTATAAAACTTGCTTTAATTTCCAACCCATTCCATGTGGGTTTTCTGTTTTCTTTTAGGAAATGTTTGATGCATTATCTACATGGAAAAATGCTTAGTTTCCAACTTACTACTGACATAACTGTTCTGAAATTCAGCCGGTTACCACAGTGTTCATTCTTTAATGCCTAACCATTGTGACTGCACAGTTTGTATTACATTCTTCTTGCATGTTTCCATGGAGCAATATAAAAGAAGGAATCAGAGTTGTGTTTCAGCTTATATCTTGTGAGCTTCGAAGGCTCAGGGCTTTGTTGCAGGCTGGAACACACTGACTATCCCTTTTTCTTTTCTGTGGAAATGAAACCCAAGCCATGGGGAAGAGAATGTGATACATGCCTTTTTTTTAAATCTGGGATGCAGCTGGGACATGCATCCAAACAGGAAATGCTACTGGGTTCCCTGGTAAAACCTGAATGATGATACATACATACATTAGCAGCTCTGTGGCCTCAAGTTTACTTGTGGGCTCCAGACACAAACAGAGGTAGAAGTTTGTCAGGCAAACACAGCTCTTCTCTTGAGAAAGCAGCAGTAACTGTTTGTGGCTTTGTCAGGCTATTTGTGACTGCAGAAGGTGTTCAGCTTTCAGGGGCAGAGGCTCTGAGTTGCAGCCTGTTAACTCGACCTTGCAGTTTTAAACATGAATATTCCCTGTTCTATTGCTCAACAGAGCAGGGAGGGGAAGAGAAGTGCCAAATACAGGGCAGCATCTTGAACTTGTAGCTGCTGCTTTTGGCTGTCCTTTGAATAACTTGTAATGAGATGGTGAGGAAGCTTTGCTTATCTTTTGTTTTAAGTAATGCCCATGAATGCTTCCCAAAGTCTCATACTGCTTCAAGACAATGTTGGTTATTCCTCTTTCTTTTTCTTTTTTTTTTTTTTTTTTTACCTCCCAACTTTACTTGAAAAATTGTGTGCTCTGCACTGACTCATGATAAAATAGCTCACAACAGTTCTACATTTGACATGTGGATCTAGTTATGAAGTACTAGTAATACTAATATCTTTTTTTCTAACTTGTCCAGTTCTGATGAAAAAGCTACTGTGGTGTGTTAGTATTTTGGGAACATGATTCAGCCTAAATGTTAATGATCCTGGCTGGCCATTTCTTGTTAATGAAAAGGGAATTGCAACTTTATTTTAGATTCAGAGTGTGAAAGCAGTAGGAGCCTTGTCACTGACTTCAGGAGGGTAAAGGTGACAAATGACCTCATTATGTTCTTGAAGTTTTCTATTCCTTCTTGTTTTGTACATTTATATATGCCTGTACAAAAACTTCTGCATACCTGTAACAGCAACAACTTGTTTTGTTTTTCAAGAAACACTTCAAAATACACTACTTCAGGTCTTGGATGAACTATATGCTTTAGAAAGTATATATTTTTAAATGGACACTTAAGGTATTAAATATATTTGTTCTCACCTGGATTGCTAGACTGCTAGAGTTGCCATTTTAAAGATTTATTGTTGTTTTCTAACATCTCTTTTAAAAAAGATACTCCCATTTATTATTAGTGTAAAATAAAAGTGTGTGGTTTCTAATGGTCAATATAGCTGTCATTCATTAAAATCTGTAAAGAACAGATTCAACTTATTTGGATAATGCCTTTTTATTTCTGGCAAAACAGATTTCATCCCTGGATACTATGTGGAAGTGTGCTTTTAAGATGTTCAGTGTAGCCAGAATTACAGCTCTGTCTGTCTTCTCTTGGAACAGTGTTGCTCCAGAGTTGCAGAACTGTCTGAAGTTTTCATGCATAAGATTGACCTCAGCGTTGGCATTTTTTCAAGCTGACATGTTAGAAACACTCTTTCTTTTTCTGTGCTTTAATTGAAAGGGTCACTAGAGAATGTTGTAGTCATTGAAACTGCAGGAAGAACACAAGGATTTGAAAGGTGTGCATAATAATGCTCCACTGAGATACTGCAGTATCTTACTAATATCTAAATGGAACTTGCTAATACATTTCAAGAAGACAGAATGAATTACCCAAGCTGGATTGTGACCAGGGCCTCCTTGCAATTGCATTTCTGTGCTTCAGAAAATTCCAGTGGAAGATTGAAATGGTTCTCATGGCTTCTTTGTCATGCTTGCAGATCTCTGAAATTGAAGTTAATGCTTAACGTAAGCTTGGGAGAAAACATAAACTTTCTTGAATTATATATTGCCCTTTAAGATACTTAATTTCTATCTGAATATAGTTTTGATTAGGTCATGAAAATTGGCTAAAAAATGTAATAGCTGAAATTTATCTATAAATATAGATATATACATATATTTGGCATGTGTCAATGTGTGTTTTGTCCTAGCAAATGCAGTTGTAATAACCTGCGATTTGAACTTTCTGGGAGAGCAAATTATTTTTCAGGATATATGAATGTAGCATGTATGGTGTTCTTAGTAAGAGGAGTTGGATTTATGTGAAAATTTGAAAACCAATACAACCAGGTGAAACTCTGGACATTGTGGGCTCTGGAATTAACTTCTGTAATATGAAATAGAGATCAGAATTTCCTTTAATAAGTGAGTTCTTTGCTGTTCTGCATTGGCACTTGAGAAGACATTTGTATAATGTATTGAATGGGTGTAAGCAGAATTGCAATTGAACTGCTGTGTAACTTTGTTTGTAGAGTCTGAGTGAGAAGCTGCTGAAGAAAGAGCAGGAATACAGCCAGCTAGAAGAAAAACATGATGAGATATCTGTGAGCAAAAAGAACATGCAGGCAAGCTTTCACCAGAAGGACCTGGACTGCCAACAGCTTCAGGCGAAGCTGTCTGCATCTGAAGCCTCGATACAGAGATTACAGACAGAACTAGGTGAGAAGGGAGAAGCAAGCCAGAAGCTTAAAGAAGAATTATCTGAAGTAGAGACAAAGTACCAGCATCTCAAGGCAGAATGCAAACAGCTCCAGCAGCAGAGGGAGGAAAAAGAACAGTATGGCCTGCAGCTCCAGAGCGAGCTCAGTCAGGTAAGGTCATTAAACCTCCCAGACCATCATCCTATTAGGACCATTCCTTAAACCATACCATTAGGTTTTATTAGCTGTGCTTTTCCTTGTTGAAGGGGAGTAGAAAAGTAGGTAACTGGTATTTCAATAAGTCACTTTTTCTTAGAGACTTAAGAAGAAAACAGGCAAAAAGAAGAGCCTGTGATATGAGTGCTGAAAGCCTTTGCTGTTTGTATGTCATACGAATCCTTTTCATAGGCCCAAATGCTCATCAAGGGCAAATGAACACAGTTGTAGCCCCCGTGGCACAGTCAAACTCAATGAGATCTACAATTCCAGCTATGTTTCTGCATTTTTACTTCTGGGAATACTAATATAACATCTAGATATCTGTAGTATAATTCACCTTTTTCAGAAGGGGAAACTAGATTTCTGTTCTAGTTCTGTTCTAATTACCTGTCTTTACACAAATAGCTTTCAGTTTTGAAGATGTAGCTTATTTCTTGTGTTCTGAGAATTTACAGGACTCTCTTGCGTATTAATAAATAAGATTTTATTTATTTAGTGAAACAGATTTCTTGTTCATTCTCCTTCTCTTATTGTGTTAAATGAACCCTTCCTTCATCCTCCATCTTTTTCCCTCTGCTTTTTTTGTTGGTGAAAAAGGCATAAAATTCCCTGAAATAAGGGGTGTATTGTCAAATGAGAATGTAGCCCAGAATATTGAGTTTCCATGGAAAATATGGTAATGGGCAATTCCTAAGAAATCAGCAAGATTATTTATTTTGATTCAGTAATGTAGCTGAATCTATAAAGAGTTGAGGCTATGAAAAAAAATCAAGTAGAGTATCAGAAGTAGTAAGATTACTACTTGAAGTCAAACTACTCCATAGGAAGTGTGAAAAAAGTGAAAGTCCTCTTGTTACATTAGAACTGAACAATTGTTTTGTTTTAAAATTGAATAGTGAATGTAGTAGAGAATACTTAGTGTGAAAAGCAGGGATAATAGGGTCTTAATGTTGCTTCCCTTGCACCTATCCACTAACACATGTTGTCTGTGGCTAAGAGAACACCCAGAACAGTCATGCCTCCACTATCTCCGTATTATTCTGCTGTGTACGATGAGTTATGGAAGCAAGACTTTCATACAACATTGAGCATGCTGACTTTTGAGGCTGCCTTCAAATTGTTTTATCTAGTGTCTTGGGGAGTAATACATTAGACTGAAGAACATTTGCACATCAGGAGTCACGTCCAGTTCTAAGATAGAATTATTTAATATTTTTTTTTAGGATGAAGCACTTCATTTTAAACTTTTGTTATAGCTTTATTACTTTAAAGTGAGTGTTTATTAGTTTTCAATCCTTTGTCAAAGTTGCAAGCTTTGCATATATAGTTTATTTTCTTCCAAAATAAACTATACAGAACGTCATTTATGTATCCCCAAAATGTCTTTCCTTATCCCATCAGTCTTTTTTTTCGGTGGGAGAAGGGAGAGAGAGCTGTATTCTGCTTAGTCATCTGCTTAGGAATCTTCATTGGTAAAACTGCCTCAGTCTGTCTAGGCAACACGTATGCAAGCTTCAGAAGCAAATACAAGAACTAGTGCTGAAATGTGGCTTCAGATTATTAGGGCATTTGGAGAGGGATTTTTGAGGTGGGCAGATGAAGAAAGATTGTGAATGATGCATGGCTGAATGAATTCCTCTGAAAGGAAATACAGGCCTCGCACGTTCTCTGGGGATACCACTGGGAAGGAAGTCAGTCTAAGAATGAAAGCCCAAATATGCTGCTGGGTCTCAGGGTGTGTTTTAGAATTGTGCTGTAAAAGAACAGTTGAGGAAAGAAGTCATTCACACATTCAGTTTATTTGGTGTAGAATTAGGATTGAAACCAAGCAAATTTTTTTTTCTCTGTCCCTCCAAACAAGTAACTATTATCATGGAGAAAATAAATTTCTCTTACCTGTTCACATGTTACTTCAGTGGAATTACCTTTTTACAGATGTAGTCTAATAGCTTATGTTGTCACAGTGAAATGCTTTTTATGAAGACAGATACAGAGGTATTTAGTCAAACCACTGTTTTCAAAGAAGCTGCCATCTTCTCAAAAATCCCTTAGATAAATGCAGGTCCTGGTACCGATGTACTTCTGCAAAGTGCTAACCCGCCTGACTGCTGTTCTAGGCAGCAGCTGGGATTCTCTAAATATTAACAATTTTTATCCCATAGTCTTCATTGAGCAATTGTATTTGCTCACAGGCTTCCTGTCTTAAGTAATAGTAAGAAAGTTGATAGATATTCAAGAAAAGCAGACTTGTATTTTGATTCTTTGAGTAACAGGAAGAGGTGCGATGCATTTTTTTATTTTTTCTGAAAAGATGGAATAGTTTTTCAGTTTTATGTGCCCCTTTCTGAGTGCTGATTTTAGAATTTGGGTGACCTGATGGAAATGATCTTCACAATGGAAGGAAGCTCTGATGGTGGCGTTGGTTCCAGCACCGGGATGGGAAGAGGCTCTCATAGGGAAATAGGAACTCCTTTGATCTAGAAGAGTTGTTAGCTGCTAATAAATACAATTACTGTTGTTGAGGCAAACTTTAATATTTTCAAGATTGTATCTTTTAAAGTCTAAATATTTCTTTCTTTATAGCTAAATCTGATTTTTGTATTCTGTAATACAAGTTAATTCTGGGTTTCGTGGTTCTGTTTACCTAATGTCATTAAAAAGACTTCAGAGCCTTGTGATTTTTTTTGTTGTTGTTACAAACATGTACTTGCCTTTTGCAGATTTTTTTTTTTTTTGTTGTTATGCTATATGATATTCTGGTTTAGTTTAAGTATTTTGCTTAAATGTTTCACAGGGGAAAAATGACAAGACTTTATGGGTACTCCTATATTTCATAAATGACCTGCTAGAGAAATTGTTAGTGGTTAATGGCTGTTATCTTTTTTTGAGGTCATAACTTATATATATGGCCAGTAACAATTTAAAACACGCAGTAGCATCTGTAACTTAACATTCATCTGTTAACTTATTGACTGATTGCAAGTTATTTCTTAGTGTACCTACAGTAAAAGCGACTTTAGTAGAATGTTGTTTGCTGATTTCCTTTCCTCCTTTCCAAATATTTTCTCTCTCAGTATCAGCATAACTGTGAACTCTGTAGCCATCTCATTGCGCTTTTTCTTTGATAGATTTTTTTCCTTTGATAGATTTTTTTTTCCTTTGATAGATTTTTTCCTTTGCTCTTGTTCATATTTTTAGTGAGGAAGTATTGATAATTCAGCAATTCCTGCAGAAAAAGACAAATTCATTTGTCAATTTTTTTTTTGGTCAAAATTTGTCAAAAAAAATCTGTCATTAGACAAATGTTCTTGATTATTGTTATGTACTCTTTCCATGCCCTGTCCTCTCTCTTTTTCTACTTCTTGTAACTCCAGTCACAGTTAGGAGTCAGCATCTCAGCTGCATGCCAAACAGCTTTTCATTTGCAGTGTTGGTGGTTGTGGACATATAAACAAATTTGTTTCTCCATCTCTATCCCCTCTAACTTTTGCACTGTTTGATAACTTCAGCCAATTTTGACAGATGGCGCAAAGGTCTTCAGCATTAGGTTCTTCAGTGTTAAATTTTTGTGGAAACAAACAGCTGAGTGGAGGAAGGAGACTTATGTTTGTGTCTCACCCCCTCCATGCCTGGGGGGAGATTTAATGTTACCGAGAGCACTGTTCCTTTTTTTCTGTCCCACTAGGCAGCCAGCTGGTGTGCATATATGGCCAGCCAGTCAACAAGTGGTAGCTTGCAGCAAGCAACAAGGTCACACAGCCTTTTGCCTAGCTATTAGTAAGAATTTGAGGTAGGGCTTAGGAAAAGGGCTTAGGAATATGAGAGGGAGGGCCTGGAGGTACAAGGTGAATGGTACAAAGGTCTTGGACATAAATTAATAGGAAACCAAGCTTCATTAATCCTGACAGCTTGTAGAAACTTCTTGCTGTGATGCAGGGTCTGATTCACTTCTTGTTTTTGCATTAAGTTGAAATTTGTGTATCCGTAAATTTGTTAGTGTGGAAGTAGGTAGAAGGTTACCCAAAGGGAACAAAAATTGATTTTATGAAGCAAGCTTTTTATAATAGTAAATTGTATAAGGCCATTCTTGCACTTTAAAGATGGCGCAGTACTGCTTTTGGTGACCCCTGAAATTACAAGGGAGTTTATTTTCAGCTGGAAGAGCACTTCCCCTTATTACTCTCTGTTACTGGGAGGTGCTGGAATATAAGCCACCCAAGTTACCCTACATTGAAGGTTCACGCATGTCTTCTCAGCAGAGCATGAATGCCACTGATGTGCCTAACAACTCTTACTAGTCTAGCAGTGCAGAAAACAGTGTTGTTGGAGTCAGTGCCGCAGGTAAAGGCACAGTGCTTCTGCCACTGGATCTACATGGCTGAGATGTAAGATGAGATCGCTCTAAGCATTACTATTTTCCTTGGTAGTATTAATAGTATTAGAAGGATTACTCTTTTAATCTCTGTAGCTATGTAGAAGGTCTTTTGTAGATAAATGAAGATTTTTCTGGGTCCCCCTTACCTACTGCTTTGAATATTTGTTTATGCTTGTACAGTTGATGCTGTTAATGTGACTTATGTTTCTGACGACTATGATGTATGTGCATGAATTCAGGAGTTATTTTAATCTGGGTAATGAAAATGTATGTCAAACATAGCCAACAGTCCTGTATTTTAGACTCACTTTGTGTGAAAAAATGGATTTCTATTTGCAGTTGCACAGTAAACTTCTAGAAACAGAGCGCCAGCTAGGGGAAGCACATGGGCGGCTTAAGGAACAGAGGCAGCTCTCCAGTGAAAAGTTAATGGACAAAGAACAGCAGGTGGCTGATCTGCAATTAAAGCTTTCTCGTGCTGAAGAGCAGGTAGGACATTTTCTGCAGGCTCTGATTTATACAGTTTCTGACAATAGCCTTTATATACTCATGTTATTTTGTTGTGGTTTATAAAATTTGTCCTTATGAGAATTTCATTCGACTAATATTGCTGAAATCCTACGGTGAAATCATGAAAATCTGCCTAAATATCATTTGTGTTACAGATTTTGTAAGGCTAAGTGCTCGTCTCATGCATGTATGTTCATGGTGCTTTAGAGATGAATGAAAGATTTTTCTTTTGCAACTTATGAGCTTTGTGTAAGTGTTCTATGAAAGATATAGGTGCACCTAAGCCCATATGGAGTAATGTTTTGTATATAGATGCTGTGGGATGAAACCCAAAACCAAATGATAACCATAGGTAGTTAATAAACTGTGTGGGTTGGATGGGTAGAACTTGCTTGTTTTATTATTTTTCATTTATTTTAACGAACATCTTGTATATGTTGCTGATTTTCTGCTACCTCTATGGGGATTGGCCAAATATGTGAGTGGTATGTTGTCAAAGCTTTAAAGCTTTTCTGTAGCTAATTTGTAAAGCCTTGAACAGTATAAAAGTGGAAATGCTACTAAACTGAAATTTCTACTAAAACTGCTAATAATAATAATGCTGTTTGTTTTATGGATACCTATATTGTTAGTCCTGTTATATCTTAACTGTTGGAAAAAAAACATGCTAAATTCTCTATTTATCTTTTATATTTTTGAGAACTAAATTACATATATGTCTGATAGTGTCATAGTTCTCGCTTATGATATTGGATCTTACCTATTAATAATAAAGAATGCTTCAGTTAGGTTTTGATTATATAACTTAGCATCACATAGTTCTGTTTTTATACCAATTTTTAAATATTCATGTTTAGAGTAGACCCTTCTGACACTAGAGTAAACATTGAGTGCTATGAAAATACTGAATGGTGCTTGATCATTCATTAGCCTCCTTTTTTCCCAGCTGAAGGAAAAAGCGGCAAATTCCACGGAATTGCAACATCAGTTAGATAAGGCAAAACAACAGCACCAGGAACACCAGACACTTCAACAAAACACAACATCAAAGCTACGAGAAGCCCAGGTAACATAGTAATATATCTTCACATGAAAGTATATTTCAGAATTTCATTATTTTCGACGCATTTTCTCTGTAAAATCAGCTTGCATGACTTTACAGTAGTTTCAATAATTTAATATGTAAATTTTGAACAGAATATACAGAGGATGTTAAATAAATGTATCCAACATTTTATGCGTTAGGAATAACTTCTAAGGTTGCTATAATTAAGGAAACTACTATGTGATTTTCTAGAATGATTTGGAGCAAGTACTACGGCAAATTGGAGATAAGGACCAAAAAATTCAAAATCTTGAGGCCTTGCTTCAAAAGAGCAAGGAAAATATCTCTCTACTTGAAAAGGAAAGAGAGGACTTGTATGCAAAAATTCAGGCTGGTGAAGGAGAAACTGCAGTTCTTAACCAGCTACAAGAGAAAAATCATGCATTGCAGATACAGGTAAGAACTCGAGATCTCTTTATTTTTTCTCTCATTATTGCATCTTATTTTCTTTATTTCTGTTTTATTAAGCATGGCATTGGTCTTTTCTATACTTTGTTTGCTGTTTCTTTGATACTGTGAAGTTTTTGCTTCTTACATTTCACAGTATTTGTGCTTTGGTGACCTCCTTGCTATCAGCAAAGAGGAAGAAATTCCTAGATGTTTCCTATGTAGACATGCTGGCAATATATGCTTAAAATAATGGTTACATACATGTTTGTTTCTCTTATCTTAAAAATAGTGTAATTCCAGCTTTCAACACCAAAATTCAGTCTGTTGTTTTTTCATTGTGTTGTTTTTGTTGCTGTAAGGCCAAATTGACCAGTCACTTTGCTTCATTTTTCAGCTCGTACGCTATTCAAACTGATTCCACGAGCTTCATTGTAATAGTTAAAGTTGGGACTTCAAAGCCATGATAAGATGCCCCAGAATTCAACAGGTTTATGACTTTTTTGGTCATCCTGTTCCAGTCTTCTATTTACCTCCTTTTTTCACTGCAGGTAACTCAGTTGACAGAGAAGCTGAAGAATCAATCAGAAAGTCATAAACAAGCCCAAGAAAATTTGCATGAGCAAGTGCAGGAGCAGAAGGCGCATTTAAGAGCTGCTCAAGACCGTGTACTCTCCCTGGAAGCAAATATCACTGAGCTGAGCAGCCAGCTAAATGAAAGTAAAGAGAAAGTATCACAACTTGATGTACAGGTAATGGAACTCTATTCTGCCTGGTGATGATAAATCCTGTCTGTGATTTCTGTATTCTCTCCAGAGAATGTACAAAGCAATTGGGGAAAAATTGCATGTTTCTAGTAACAGATAAATGAAGTAGAATAAAGCAGATAAACTTAAGGATGTAAGTGGATTCAGAATAGGAATAGATGGTTGGTGTGATTTCTTTTTTTTTTTTCCTTCTTTATTGGGTGGGTGTTTTGTGGTGGTGATGGTAGGAGTTTATAATCAAGTTGTGCAAACTTGTCCTTGAGCATCTTTTTTTGTATTCATAATGGTTAATCATCCACGAAACAGCTTTTAGCTGTCCTGGATTCTGTGCACCAGAGTCAGTCTGTTAAATCAGTAAGATCTTGCTGTTGCATAGAAATTTCCTAAGCTGGTGGCTTTTATCACAAACAAACAAACAAAAAATTGCAGGCTGCCTTTTTGTCAATTTAATTGAACTAAACAAGGGAAATCCCAAGTATGGATTCAACGTGGTCTCTCCTAAGTGCTGCTTAAGCTAAAATCAGCTAATTATTGTTCAGATATCATAAAGAATACACAACACTTTTTCAGACGTTTAGCAATTATGTTCCTAGATAGATACATGTGGTGCACATAATACTGCTGTTGTTGGATTAATACACTGTGATGTCTTTTTAATTAGTGTTACTCAGTACCTTCTTCTGATGTAGCTCTGATGCTTTTGCTGGGCTGTATATCTCAGGCTACAGTATCTGACCCTGAGTATTGCTTGCAAGCACCAGCAGCATTCATACCTGCCCTATAAATTTTTAGCTAGTTAGCTATTTTGGGAAGAGTAGGAAGTTGCTCCCTGACATGCAGATAGGCACAGAGAAAAATATACATGTGGAAGCATGTTTTACTTGTTTCTTCATCTTCTAACAATTTTATGTGCATGTAGTCTGAGGTTACTAAGGCATGCAAGAGTGTGAATGCAGTAAGTCTCTCCCATTGTTCCTTGCTTGTGAATAAAAACACTTTCCTAGAGGAGAATGAGTGGGACTGTTTTTTTTTTTTTGTTTGTTTGTTTGTTTTTTTAATTAAATTTGTGTTTTTATATCAAAGAAAGAACTGTTAACATCTTGGTTATTTGCTAAAACTTGAAAAAAAATCTTTTTAAATTAACACATGAAAACTGCTAATTTTACTATTAAGTTTAATTATCACAGAATCACAGAATCATCTAGGTTGGAAGAGACCTCCAAGGTCACCTAGTCCAACCTCTGACGTAACACTAACCTAAACTCTGCTAAACCACATCAGATTATGAATATAAAAAAAAAAATAATCCGCTACAGTAAAAGAGATGTTTTAGTGAAGTATGACTTGTCTTTCAGGTAAAAGCAAAAACTGAATTGCTGCTCTCAGCAGAAGCATCAAAAGCTGCTCAAAGAGCCGACCTTCAGAATCATCTGGACACTGCCCAGCATGCGTTGCAAGATAAACAACAGGTTAGGAGCAACATACAGACATAAAGTTTCTACCTTACGTAAAAAGCTACTTACAAACCTACGAATAACGTGCTTACACACTAAATGTGTGACTATGCGTTTGAAAATAATCATGTAGGATATTTTAACCATGTGATAGGTATTCAGTTCTTTTTGCTGTAATCTGGACCAGATACATTTTATAGTGTAAAGAACTTAATTAGGAATCCAATCCTTGCTGTATTTTTGGCTATGGTTTCCATATTGGAAACCATATTTGGTGTTCTCAGTTTCTGTATTGGGGTACAACTCAATTCTAATCCATATGTTATGAAAAAAAGAGTTTATAGAATGCAGTGGGTACAAGTGAAAACTCAACTTGTATTGCATATCCAGATAGTTTCAAAATTAGATGTCTTTTTCAAAAATAATTATCTGCATGCCAACTGACACAAAAGCTAGAAGGTGCTTGTTAAAACTGCATGCTTTATTTTACATTAATCCCAGTGAAGCATGCTACCAGGTACTGAATCAAACATTTGTATTGTTAGGATTAGTGCTGCTCCGATCTTAGTGGAAATATCCAGCAATTCCAAAGAGCACTGGTTTTTAGAGTGGGAATATAATTATTTGCTATAAACATAAGACCTTTTTTTGCAACTATTAATTAAATACATAATTACCTAATAGTTAAACAAATCAACTTGCTTGGAGAGCAAGGAGGTTGGATGTAACTGTCATCTTAGTGGTTACTAAGTGAATGCGTTTGTGTCTCTTGCAGAAATTATGTTGTTATTTGTTAAACAAAATGCTTTGTAATCATCTTTAGTATGTGAAGAGCATACTCTTCCCATGATACTGGCTTTCTTCTTCAGTGATTCCTTGATTTCAGGAAGACAGCAACATTTTCTATAAAGTTTTGTAGTGTTACTTTCTAGTTATTGCTGTATTAACTTCAGGATCTTGAGCATTTATTGCATACAATTTCTCTTCTGTTTATAAGTAAAACCACATTTCTTAAGATTTAGCTCACAGCCTGTAGAGTTTGAGAGGGATATGTTTAACATAGAGAATTTGTGCTTTTCCCACTCAATTTCCTGCCTCTCAGAATAAAAAACATTTTTTTCCTTTTTAATTTCAACACATTAGATCATTTAAAGCATTTATTCTGAGGACATTAGTCATTTTTGGAAGCTATTTAAAAGCTAACAACCCTCTTATTTTTATTTTACCCCAGGAGTTAAACAAGGTCAGCAGTCAGTTGGATCAAGTTACCACTAAGCTGAATGATAAGCAGGAATACTGTGCTCAGCTGGAAGCCAATCTCAAAGAGCACAAAGAGCAATGTCTTTATTTAGAACAGAAAACCGAAGAGCTGGAGGGACAGCTTAAGGTTTGTATTGAGCACAGTATATGAGCTTACTGCAACTGATGTTCTCCACTGCTTGGTAGTATTTCATAAAAGCTGTGCTCAAATTACAGTGAAAGGATTTTATCAATATGACTTCTGTAGGTTTTCTTTTTCACCGGTGTTTCCTGATCTGCCCTTTAATCCTATTCTCTTCTTCTGTGCTAGTATATCATACTAAGATTTAGGATGTTGCCCTTATACTGTCACTTCCACTATGTGTGCTTTTACCAACCTCTATGCTACCTGGAAAATGCTATGAGAAGGAGCATGAATACTTCTTGAAATTAAGTCTCCAGGTCTATATATTTTACAAGTGGTACCAGTGAATATGTGTTACGTTGGTTAGCCCAAGTTAATAGTACCTGTCTGTTTTGATTTAATTCTGGAACCTTTCAGTAGGCCTTTCTGGGGGCTTTTTATCATGATTTTTGTGTATGAGAAATATTTTTCCACAAATTTGATCGTGAGTTTTATATTCCATTTCTGGATTTGGATTTTCTCTTAAATTGCACATAATTCTGCCGGGTTTGCAGAACCTTTTGTTATTTTGCTACATTAATGTTTTCCATTAAGGATGAATTACTCCTAATGCTTCAGTGTTTTTAAATTTGGGCTTTACATTTTGTTCAGTATTTGTTAAGCATTCTTAGTGGTCAAAATCACGGTATATAAAAACATGTAATGTATCGGTCTTGGGAGCAATGAAGAATTAGTTTTGCAGTGTTGTGTATCTGTTTTGAAAGAGATCAGCTGTCTAAAGTGAGTTGGGTGCTTTTTCTAGTTTATGTGCTTTTCTGCCTGGTTTCATTTGTGCTTTTATTTTTCATTCTTTTGCTAATGTATCACAGGTAACCAGTGTACTCAAATGCTTAAATGCTCAAATGCAGGAATACGCTGTTTGCTTCCCCAAGATTTATGAGGTCTGTATTAGATGAAGTGTGAAACTGAGCAGGGTTGTTGATGCTATCAATAGGAGTGCAATTCTGTGTACAAGTCTTGGTGTCATCACCATTCTTTAGGATTATTCCAGTTGAATGCACGGTATTAAAAATGATAGAGGAGGGAAAAAAAAAAAAAAAAAAAGAAACCCTGAAACCCTCAGGAATATTCTCTTAGAAACTTGGCCATGGTGACCATGGTGTTTTATGGCCACTGCATGAAAGCAGAAGCAGCTATAAAACAGCCAGTGTGTTGAAGAGTCTAAGCAGTGCCCGGTTGCTGAAGACTCCTGTGTTCTTTATATTCCATGCAAATGAACAAGTATCTTCTATAAACAAAACAAAAGAAACCTTCTGCCAAACAAGCACAGGTTTTTTTGTTTTGTTTTGTTTTGTTTTTTCTATAGCTGTAGTTCATGTCTTTGTAGTTACACAGAATGGCAGAGTTGGGGGATATGTAAATCACCAGTCATTTGAAACTGCTGAAACTACTTGTTGGGAGCTGAGAACAGGGCCCCAAAGCTGAACACTGTGTATGCCCTTTTAAAGATTTCTGCGTTTTATTTACTACTTTGCAGTAAAATGGCTGCTTGGCATTTAACTTAAAGGTGATTTCAGAATGTTTTACCAAAATGGATCACTTCTGGGGGAGCAAAAGTATTGCAGGAACTAAATAATGAAAGACAAGTGGCCAGCTAATGAAATAGATAGTGTGTGAGAACTGTGACTGCTTTCTATAGTAAACACTTTTTACAGTAAATACTACTGGACAACTTCTGCTTTTTATTGTTGTTTTGTTTTATTGTCTCTGTTCTGATAGCTCTAACTTTTTTGTTTTTCTATCTCAGAAACTTGAAGCTGACATTCTTGATGCTAAAACAAGCAAAGAACAAGCTCTTCAGGAATTACAGCAGCAGCGACAGCAATCTACGGAATTAGACCTCCGAACAGCAGAACTGAGTAAACAACTTGAAGCGGAAAGAGAAGTGTATGCATACCCTGTGCTATAATACTTTTCAAAGTTAGATATAAAGCTAAATTAGAGTGGTTTGGACTACAGCTGAAATTTTGTTCTTCTGTGATTTCTTAAAATCATAAATAAAAGCGATGTATTCCCTCTGCTATGAGAACTGAGTTATATCTCATCTGTTTTCTTGCACTTTACCTGCCATGCAGACTCCATCTGCCACATCATCTTCTGTGAATCACTGGCTGAAGTGATTTAACACACTTTGATATATTCACTGTGCTTGTCAGCTAAATATCTAAGTAGGCTGACACGCTAAGGTCCGTCTCTAACTATCCATAGCTCTGTAACTTTCAAAGATTAATTTTCAATTTATGTATAAGCAGCAAAGGGGTAGCTTCTGTTCACAATATTTAAGGAAGGAAAATCCATCTCAGAATAGTGTTTATAGTAGCTTATATGTCTTCACTGGAGAGACAAATGCCTGTATTCTGGAAGGAAAATGTATTCTTTGAATTAATTCTACAGTTAATATATTTAAGTAGAGATGTTTAATGATATAAAGAATCTTGTGAAGGAGAATTTTAAAAAAATCTTTTATTTTTCTTTATTTTGCTCTGTATTTGCAGCACGTCTAGTGCTAAATTGGATTTACAGAAGAAATCTGAGGCCCTTGAACAAGCAAAACAACAAATTTCAAAGCAGGAAGAGGAAAATGCCAGCCTCAAACAGAACCTTGAGAAATCAAGTCAAGATACAAGTAAACAACTCAAGGAGTTAGACTGTAAAATGCAACTAGCAACATCGGAGTTGCAACAGGTGAAATCAGAGAAGGATGCCCTATTAAAGGACCTTACAGCTACCAAAGAGAAGCTCTCAAAAAGTTCTGAATCCTTCAAAAAAAAGAAAGAAGAATTAGAAAAAGAAATACAAAAAGAAAAAGCAGCTGTAGCAGAAATGGTTAGTAGACTTTTTTTTGATTAGAGCTTAAGTTTGAGGTATTTACAATGTGATATTAAGATTTTATTTTTGTTCTAAAAACAGTGCACATGATAAGTGCAAGAAAGTTAATTTCCTTAAGGAAAAACAGATTTTGATTTTAGTTGTTTATACATGTGTCCTAACTTGAATTTTTATCCTAACTTGAATTTTTGTCTCAATGTTTACTGTGGTAGACATCAGTTCATATCACACAACAAGATCCAACTGGCTGTTGTTTTGGGAGATGCCTAGCTTAAGGTTTTATAAGAGTACTAGAACTATTTGAGTTTCAGAGGGGTCTCACACATGACAGTATAGTAACAAACACTTGACCAGAGCAACCTGTTATGGTAAGAAGAGTGTACTCCTGGTAGCTTTAGAATGTACTTTTTTTTTCCTTCCCCCTTTGCTTTGTTGGTAACATGACTGACTACTATAAAAGTATATATTTTATAAATTTTCTTATGCAGGTTTACTGACAGCCCTACCCTCAGAACGTGGTAGAGTTTCTTTCTCATTCCCTTCCTATTTTGCATGTCAGTATTTCAGTATTTCCCAGAACCCATGTATAGCTGCTTTTATCCTACTCTTAAACAAACAAACAACAACAAAACAATACCAACAAAAACAACCCTCCTAATACTTAAAAATAACACTTTCCTTTCCTACTTCACCTTCTTAAGATAAGCCTTTTTGCTTAGAGGCTTGATTAAATATTGTCATTTAAACATTTGTGTTTTTCCTAAAAGCTTGAAGGATTTTCTCCCCAATTTATACTCAAATATGTTTGCGTACTAATTCTGCAAATCTATTTACTCACTGAGTTTTAGAACATCAAGAAATTATGGATCCTGAGGAGAGCAATGAGCTTGCCATAAGAAGACGGCTGCCAACAGCAGCTTCAAGCAAGGCGATTATTCCTAATCAGAAAAACTTCTTGGCACGTGGCTGCCTTGAAGTACTAAATATCAGCAGAGTTCAGCTTAGACTTATCACTGTTAATGGCTAGAGATGTTTTTAGCTGAAAATGTCTGCAACTGAGAAGAAAGGCATTTTCACTAGAAAGAAAAGCATTCTTTTAGAATGCTTTGTAGCTTCTGTGAAAATACATGTCACTTGGTCTTAGAAGCTCACATAAATACTTGCTTGTCTTCTGTTTTTTTTTTTTTAGGAAAAATCTTACCAAGAAGTAAAACAACAGCTCCAGGTACAAACAGAGTCTGTAGCTAAAGAGAGGAATGAATTGAAAAACTCACTGGAAAAAAAGGAGGGGGTAAGCTGTCCGCAGAGTTCCAAAAATCAAGAAAAGAATAATAACAAATGCTTAAAAGATTCATTTTCATTCTCATATGTTGGGATTAATGAGGGAAAAAAAAGAGGTTGCAGTTCTCAAATTGTAACCCATCTGGGACACTGAAATTAGGTGATACAAAATTGCCTGGCAAAAGGTAAATGCTGTATAAAATTATGGAGAAAATTATTCTGGGAGTTACTGAAAAACACGTCAAGGACAATGTGGTCGTTGGTCACAGCTAACATGGGTTCATGAGGGGAATGTCCTGCTTAATGAACTTAATTTCTACCCACCTAGTTTACCAGTTAGTTGATGTGATCTTTTTGGATTTCAGTAAAGCTTTCAATACAGTTTCACACAGTAACTTTCTGGACAAAATGTCCAGCATAGAGTTAGATAAATGCATAATACAATGGGTGAACAACGGGCTTGAGGGATCGGGCTCAAAGGGTTATAGCAAACAAGATTACATCAGGCTGGTGGCCAGTCACTAGTGGGGTGTCCCAGGGCTCCATTTGAGGGCCAGTTCTCTTCAATATTTTCATAAATAACTTGGGTGTGGGACTAGAAAATGTTTTGAGGAAGTTTGCAGATGATACTAAATTGGGAGAAGCTGTTGACCCTAGTAAGCATAGAGAGGCCTTGCAGAGAGATCTTGGCAAATTAGAGAGCTGGGAAATCACCAACAGTATGAAGTTTAACAAGAGCAAGTGCTGGATTCTGCACCTGGGAAGGGGCAACCCTGGCTATATGTGCAAACTGGGGGACAAAAGGCTGAAGAGCAGCCCCACATAAAGGGGTCTGGGTGTTTTCTGCATAATTTTGCCATGTTGAAAATAAGTCAACAATATGCCCTGGCAGCCAGGAGAGCCAACTCTGGGGTGCAACAAGCATAGCATTACTAGCTTGGTCAAGGGAAATGATTGTCCCACTCCACTCTGCACTGGTGCAGCCTCACCAAGACCACTGTGTGCAATTTTGGGCACCAAAGTATAAAAAGGATATAAAGCTATTAGAGAGCATCCAAAGGAGGGCTATGAAGATGGTGCAGGCTCTTGAGGGGAAGACGTATGAGGAGCAGCTGAGGCCCCTTGGTTTGTTCAGCCCAGAGCATAGCAGGCTGAGGGCAAGCCTCTCAGGTTACTGCAACCAGTGGACACTCCCCAACTTTGAGCAGTCCTTTGGGGGTTGGACTAGAGACTGTATCTTCAGCTTTAACAGTTTTTTCGTTTATGAACTTGTCTGTTCACTCCTTGAGCTTTGCAATTTGTCATACACACAGTTTACATACTACAGCATGTACAAATAATGATGTAAATTAAAATTATATACAGTTATTTAATATTTTTGAATATAGATCTCTAAGCAGTTGTCGATAGAACTTGATTCAGCACGTGCACAAGTACTGGAAATTCAGGGTCTTCTGAAAGACAAAGAAAAAAGTGAGCAGCATCTTCAGGGAAAGCTGAGAGACCTAAAGGAATCTTTTGAGCAGAAGAAAAAACACAGTGAAACACTACAAGCTGAGTTAAAAACTGCCCTTTTAGAAAAGGTAAGGCTGGCCTCTTACTCCTGTAAGAAAATTAATATAAATTTGATACATCCTGTGGCTTTTATACCAATGTCTTTGGAATAAACAGCTATTTACTGTAGTCTTGCTGGAAAGGATAAGATCAGGATGTGGAAACAAAGTCTTCAGTGGCCATTGCTGAAATATACAGACTCTCTAGGAGCTGAGTTTCAGTAAATTGGTAAAAATGGCTAGATTGTATGTCTTTATTTTGACGCAGGAGGATACTGTGAAGTAAGAGCTGCTGTTTTCTTGTAAAGCAGTAGACAGTTTTGTGAGAGCAGTTTAGACAAATGCTGCAGTGTTTTGGAATGTCCATGGCAGTTTTAAACTCTCTTTCATTATAGCAAAATAATTTATCTGAGTGACAGAATGAAACTAATAAACTATAGTGGAAATAGTTCAAATGTCTTACATTAGTGAATGTTGTGTTGTGTGCTGTGCACTATTAAATGTTTTGCCAGCTTTGGCTGCCCTGTACTGTATGATCATACTTTTGCTTTAGCTTGTCTAGGGACACTGTATGATTAAAATATATAAAATAATTTAAATTTTAAATGTTTGGTCTTGCTGTGTTTAACTAAGTCTTATAATGTGAATTTAATTTTGTTGTGAAATTAGTTACAAAATATTGCTATAAAAACTGTTTATGTTAGGTTACTTAATTGCTATTTCATAAGTGTTTTTCAGTAAAAATAGTTTTTCAGTAAAAATATGATTTATTGACATCATAAAGCATACTATCTGTAACTTCAACTGACGCTTTGTATGCCTATGTTTCAGGCAGAACTGGAGAATAAGCTGCAACAGCAGACAATTTTGTCAGCTCAGGAGCTTAAAACAGAGAAAGGAAAACTAGCAGACTTACAGAAGACCTATGAAAAATATAAGGAAAACATGGAAAAACTGCAGCTGGATCTTTACGGGAAAGAGTCTGAGTTGCTGGCGACCAGGCAGGACCTTAAGGTACTTAGAGACACTTTAATGTTATTTGTGACTTAATAGATCTGTCTGTATCCATTTTGAAGATACAGAAACAGTGCAAAAACTGTATGGGGAAAGAAAAAAAAAAGCTCTTTGCTATATATAGAATATAGTGCTGTTCAATCCCTTCCCCTGGGACAAAGGACATACTGACACTAATTGAAAGCCAAGTGTATTTGCCAGCTTACCTGAACTACCCTTACATTTTTGCAATGGCAATCTGACCTGTGGGTGCAAAGTGAAAGATGATTTATTTTCATATTCTTTTTTGATTTTTTTTGTTGTAGTTGTTGTTGGTATATATTGTAGCTTTCAACCAATTTAAATAGTGTAGCTAATTAGGGCAAAGTCACTGACAGCATGTGAGTAACCACTGCCTTCTAGACGATTTAACTAGAATTGTAGTTGTCAGTCTGCTCCTATGCCCTTGCTCCTTCTGCTTCTTCCTGGCTCATTACAGACTTTGAGAGATGTTATACTGGTAAAAACAGTAGGTTTAGGGACCTGCCTGGAGTGCAGATGTCTAAACATAATCCTCCAAGATTTTGCTATTCCTAAGCAGAATTTACCTGGTTTGGTATTCAGATGTAATGCCTTCAAAAAGATGTTGCTGGGAATTGAGTCGATAAGAACAGGTGTTTCTTTATCCTTTTTCCGTTCCCCCACCCCATCCCCTCATGTCAGTGCTAAACAAATGCTCAGGTTTGTTCCAGGACATACGCTGCTGCAGAGATGTGTGGCTTTGGCTCTTTTCACTTGCAAAGCTGGAGTGGGAGTCATTGTCTGTGCGACACTGTTGTTTTAAGATTGCCTGAATTTCTTGAGAGAAATAGGTGCTTCTGGAGAACTGGTCATCCAATCCATTTTAGATGCAGGCTTCTGTTGCTTTCACTATATATAAAGAGAGCTTTTGGTGACTGGTTAGATTTAATATGTCCCTTCTACTTCTCCCAGTGTAGTCTTTTCAGTCCCATCCTTGAAATATTAAAGGTTTTGTGGCTATTTCAGATAGCTCCATGTGAGCTGTGGAGTTCTCACCAAACTCAATGTTTTAAGTTCCTTTAAGAAAAAGAAAAGTAGCTCCTTTATGTGTACATCATTGGATTTCTCTTAATCATACTCTTCCTCTGTGACATTAGATTGCCTGCCACATTTTCCTGCAAGTCAGATTAGCTTTATTTTTGGTGCTGCTTGATTGAATCCTTGTGCAAGGGTATAAAGAACTTTGGCCTGCTTAACAAGCAAAGGTGGTTTAAACATACAGTTAGTTACTATAGCTTGCTAACCTCCTTTCTGAGTTAATTTCCCAGAATGTGTTTAGATCAACACATTGGTAATTATGGTATAATTTAAATTGGTAATGCAGTGACCTGTACAAGCATTGGATGTTCATTTAAATATTGCTTGCTGCAAAGATAGCTCTGAATAAGTATTATTAAGCCAGCTCGATGACTTCTAGTTCTGACAAATATAAAATGGGACAGTAGGTCTCCCATGTGCTTTTAAACCTGAATTGGGATGGTAACAAGGGAGAGATGGAGCATCAGTGCAAAAAGGTAAAATAAGGTGATAGGAACAGGTGACCAGCAACACCTGTAATATATAAATAAAGTGACTAGCAACAGGAGAATAAGACTGTTAATATGAACAGGTAACAGTATTTATTATGTAAATATCTGTGGAGCCTAAAAAGCCTGCAAAATATTGGTGTCCTCGGTGCTGAGGTGATGTACCAGTTTGGAGGCTGTTTGCATGGCTGTTTATTTATTTATAATTATTTACAATAATTATGGATAGTGAGGTCTGCTTGGCACCGCTTTGCTTTTTTTCTGTAAAATCCAGGAGAGGAAAAAGGACAGGGCCAATATATGTTTAATCACAAGTGTGCTGTCTCATTGCAATGTTAAACTAAAATAGTAATGATATTCTTTGCTGCTTTCTCAGACTAGTTATAAAAAGTGTCAAGGAAGACTAATGCTAGTTTGGAGAGCTGAACACAAAAGTGCCACTCAAATCAGAAGAACTCTGTGGCAAAGATTCATAGTCAAGCCAGTTATGTGCGTTATGTTTGTCCTTAGGGGAGTTATTTAATTAAAGCAGATGATTTGAGCCAGAGCTACAAATTTTGGATGGTTTGGAACCAAGGAGGGCTGGGGTCCAGACTGCTCTTGATATTACTGGTAGACAGTAGAAGAACTTTTTAGAACTTGTGTATTAGGTAAGCTTAGATGTCTTATTGCAGGATTTCTAGCAGAAGTATGAAGTCCTTGCACAGCTGTGTTTAGTGAGCATGGTTTGAAGCCCAGTGAGCGGGGCTGTACGCAGAGCACCATCTGCTGGCTTCTGGCTGGAATATCACTGCCAGGCTGCTTGGCTGCTGGTCACCTCGGGCTGAGGGAGCTGTGAGACTGGCGTGTGATAAAAAGTGAGTAATGCTTACATGAAGTTTCGCAGTTGGGGATGCAGCACTGCGTGAGAGCTAGCTATGCATAGCTAGAGGCAGAGCAAGCGGGCAGCTGCCTGGCACACCAGCAGCACAGGCTGAAAAATTGAACGCCCCCTTAACACTTCAGTTTCTGGTTCAATAACAGAAGGTCCAAGTTATGTAGTGTTAGCCAGATGCAAACTGTGAAGCTGTAAGTCTCCCAGAGCAAAAGTGAGAAGTGTTGTAGCAAATTCTAAAGTGAGAACATAGTTAGATTCTTATGGATACGATATGCTGCACATTCAGTTTAATTTAAAAAACCTGCCTTCTGTAACAGTAAATAAACTCATCTTTTTGTCTCTGATGGAAAAAAAGAAATTGGGCAAGATTTGAGTGCTTGTAAAAGTTATATATATATATAGTATTGTTTATATATTTATATATATATCATTTATATCTATAAATGGGATTCCTTTTTGTGGAAAAGACTATTTTTATTTACAAGACTTATTGAAAACGAAGAGCTGTTATTATTTCTGCCTTGATTTTGAGTTAGTGCTAACATACTTGTGCGTCTTGCTCTCCTGAACTCTGCCAAATACTCTTTGGTCTTGGCATTTGTGCTTTTTGTAGTCAGTCCTGGTTTCTTCTGTATTCTCAAAAGAATGTTTCTTTGCCTCCGATATTGGCACCACTCTCCGTGTATCTTCAGTGGATGTTCTGGATGCTCGTTGTGCTGCCAGACCTTAAGTCTCTAAGTTAGGAGCCTTAGTTGCCTGCAGTCAGTCTAATCCTACCGCCGAGGAAGTGAAGCGACATTAGGTTATCATCTGTGAATAACGACATGCCCTTTCTGTGAGCTGGGTGGGGGGAGAGGGGCATGCAGACTAAAATTTGTGCACCTCACTTCGATGGAATGAATCCAGGACCTAGCACCCGGCTAGTTCTGCTGGTGGCTCCATGTGGCCTGTTTGCAGTGCAACAGCCCAATTGTACTGGACTGGGCTGAGATTTTCTTTTAATTGGTTAATTAGTTAACCAATTAGCCAGTCAACCTAACATCTGGTTTTATTTACAGTTAGTCCAGATTGACTTCTTTTGTTCTGTATGTTTTCCTTGCATTTGGTTTTCTCTGTCATCCTAAAAAGGAATCTCATGACTGGGGTTGTATTACCATTTTTGGAGAGCGATGTCAAAATTGAACAATAATTAAGGTGAATGGCATCAGATTTTGAAGAGGTGATTTTCTGTTAAAGATGTGAGCTCCTCAGGAGTCCAAAAGAATCCATCTGAACTAGTTGGAGACTGAGCCAGGAGCAAGGACAATAACTGGAATGTTTAGCCATGTGCTGGATTTCTGCTGTTTTCCAAAGGGTGCTGTGAGGGTCTTCTGAGGAAGGCAGAAAGAAAGGCACAGATAGATAGAAGGTAGATTTACTGCTAAAGTTATATTGAATGTTTTCTCAATTAAGGCCAGTAGCATTATTGTTAATCACAACACAGTTAAGAGCCACTTGCTGTGCATTAGCTGTAGTAAGATAAATTGTGCTCAAAATTCAGAGTCCCTTATATTGCAAACGTTTATGTATAAGACATTGCAGAGCAAGCTGAATACTGACTCCTCTTTTAAGGACATTCACCTTGTCTTAGCTTGGGCATAGGCACAGTCAGATTGCCTGTCCTGTACCGACACTTTGGGGATGGTTGAGGGAAGAGTATCTGATAGGTGAAGCTTTTTGTTGGGCTACCCACTTCATAGCCAAATTTTATCATCCTGTACAAATTGTCTACAATCCTGTACAAAATTGTCTACAATCATACTTCTGCAAGAAGCAAATCTGAATAAAAGCCATGTCTTCAGAATGAAGCCATGTCTTCATTCTAAATTTGCAAAAACTATTGGGTTTTCCTGTGAAGGTGTTCTGTGATGATGCTATACTTCCCATCCTTTCTTAGCTGTAGGAAAATACTGTACTCCACCGCCCACAGTGGAATAGAGAGGGCTTATTTTCTTTTCTGAAGGACCCACTCTGCTACAAACTTGAAATTGCAAAAGCACCTCCTATTTTGCTTCAATTTTTTCTTGAGCTAATACCTTGTGAAGTTTAAAATAGTAATCTTATAAATCAGAAGACAAATAATTGGTCTGCAAATTAATTCAAAAAGGCAGTTTGAATTTTTTAAGTGACTGAAGCTGTAGAAAATGGTATTGGATCAGCAGTGTTCCATCACGTTAGTATTTCAAACTAAATCTCATTCTACCAGTAAAACACTTCAGACTCTACATGTAAGGATTAGGAAACAGAAATCAGTTTTTAAATGAAGACAGGAGCTGCTTAAAACAGATGTATAATTAAGTGAAGTCAAGGTTGTTGAAGTTTAGTGATTTTTTTAAAGGAACAAGTACCAGAGGTTTAATTAGGGTTTAAGTAAGAGGAGTAACAGCTAAAAGAATGTAGTTTATTCTGAAAGAATTTAAATGCTTATTGGTGCACAGAAGGTAATAAATTAATTGTTAATAATAAATCTCCCCACCTCACACTGTGTATCTTAGCATAAAATGTTTCCATCAAGTACCATGATTTTGGTGACTTAGAGGATGAGTTGTTTATTTTTTCCATTTTGGTTCTTTGTGAAATGACATGCTCCTAAATGTAGCTAGTCCATGGCTAAGCCAAAGGCTTTAAAAACATCACAACACCCCCTCTTCCACAATACTAAATTAAGAAGAGCCTCAAAGTTTGACTTTGCTGTGAGCAAATAGAATGAGTCTTGGGTGTGAGTTTGAGATTGTTACTTGGGTTTCTGTGACCTATTGTATAGAGACGTCTTTTTCTGTATAACAAAATCATAGAAGAGCTTGTATTGGAAGGGACCTTGAAGATCACCCCATTCCACCCCCCTTGCCATAGGCAGGGATGCCACCCACTAGATCAGGTGGATGTCCCATCCAAGCTGGCCTTGAACACCTCCAGGGATGGGGCATCCACAACCCGTGCCAGTGCCTCTCCACCCTCAGAGTGAAGAATTTCTTCCTAATGTCTAATCTAAATCTATTCTCTTTTAATTTAAGACCATACCTCCTTTGTCCTATCACTATGTACCCAACTAAGGAGTCCCCTCTCCATCCTTTGTATAAGACCCCTTTATGTATTGAAAAGCTACAATGAGGGCACCCTGGAAATAAGGAGAGTTGGAGGCCAGTTAAATTATGGTATGTAATAGATTTTGAGTGGAAGTTTAAGATCTGATTGAATTGAAATGCTGATACACATGAGACTGTGAAACATTTTGCTCTGATTCTAGCATTTTTAGGTTGCACATTTCACTTCAGGATTTTCAAAAATTTCTTGACTGTGCTAGTGCTAGTTTCGTTAAGTCATTGGAAAAAATACAGTAATAATGAATCACTCCTGGAAACTTCACAGTGTAGCTTCTCTGTTGCTTAAATACCATCTGTATAGAATTATAAGGTAGTACATTTACCTTGAGAATAAATCAACTTGTGTAAGCCAATTCAAGTTCATTCTCTTTTTGTCAAACAATCACTTTTCCTTCTTTGCCCTCTGATGTTTTCACATTTTGTCTGTGGAAGGATGCAGTAGGTACTGCAGCTGGAAATGTTTCTGGGGTACTTTGTTTTTGCTAGGCATAACCTCAAGACCCAGAAGTTCCTGTAATTATGCTTTGTCAACATTTGAAGTAAACTGTTGCATGCTATGTGACAGTTTTTCTGTGGAAAATGACTAAATGATTGTCAAGTATCTGAAGCTCTTATACTGAAAGATAATTTATAGAGTTGTCTTTGTAATTAGTCCACAGAAGAAAAACTTGCTCTTGCTCAAGAAGAGGTAGTTTCCAGCAGAAATCGAATTGCTAATAATAATCAGCAGATCCAGGAACTGAAGAAAGCAAAGTCTGCACTGGAACAGGATGCATCAAAGAAGGAGCAGCAGCTGGGTGAGAAGACCAAAATGCTACAGGATCTTCAGAATGATAGGGTAAATGTCTTTGTCTTTTGAAATCTTCCCACAGAAACACACAGCCTCTCACCCTCTCCCCGCCCCATTAATTCCTGGTACATCTCTAAACAGGGGTTGTTTTGGGGGCATACCACTGTTGTAGAGCATAGCAACAGCAATTTTATTGAACCTCCTGCTTGAAGACTGCTAACAGGCAGCTGAAATGAATTTGCTTTAAAATAGACTGATAATTTGTACTAAGTGGTTAGACATGCAGAAAAACATTATTAATTTTAAATATAAAACTGTAAACATGCTGCTAATTGTTTGCCCTGCTAACTGTGGATGGAGATATGTGACAGTTGTTTTCCTTCTTAGAGCTTTTGTAACTAAGGATTTGGGGTACTAGATGGTGTTTTTTTTATTTTATTTTTTTTGTGGACTTGGAAGAAGTCACTTTTCTATCACCTTTTAAGTATGTATATATATCTGTATATGTATTTTTTTTGTTCAAGATTTTGAAAGAAAAAGACTTGGCTAATGAAAAATGTAAAACAACAGAGCTCCAGGAAATAAAGAGTAGACTTGAAAAAGAAAGTGCCAAGCTGGGTGAAGAGCTCAGAGTCTGCAAGCAAGAATATGAGAAGGTATATTGAAACAAAATGAATCTTCATGTGCTCAGTTACCTGATCAGAAATACAGAAATTATCTGGAATAGCTTTGCAAAGGTGGTTGCTGTAAATATCAGTACTACAGATAAGGGAACCAAAGCACAGATTTCACTGGGGTTCCTGAGCAATGCTGACCTGATTAGTGATAGTACTGGAGCTCCAGTTACCAGTGTGCTTGGCCAGGTAGACCACATGACTTTTCTTAGTTTCGGGGCTTTTTTTCTGTTTTACTGTAGATTCACTGTGCATACCCTTGCTTGACAATTCTGAAGTGTAGAAAAGATGTCCCAAAGTGTCATGAATATGAAGTTTTCCAGATGTTCTAGGAACATCTGGTACTTCTCAAATATGTGTGGTAGAGTGTGAAACTTCCTTGATGTGCTGTGGTTTTTAAAATGTCTTAAAAAGTCACACTTGGGGTGGGGGGAGGGACACAACATCGGGAGCCTCATAAAAGACTGTTTTCCAAAATCATAACAGTCAAATGAGATGTCTAAAGGGTAAAAATCTGTAGAATTCAATTAAATAACTTTAAGTCTTCAGTAAAACAAATTATTTCACACTATGAAATGCGTGTACACCAATGGCGGCTTAATATATTCATCTCTTGATCTACATACAAGGATTCAGACTAAAACAGAAATTGTCTCCTACAGGCCTATACTCTAATTCCCATTTCTTGTCAGGACAGATACACTCTTATAGGACATCCTTTTGTCCTCAGGTTATGTTCTCTCTCTGTCTTTGGTTTGGCTTTAGTTTGTGTTGAAAACTTTGATTTCTGGAAAACTGGCAACCCTTGTTAGGCTCTTAGTACCTGTACATTTGGCTGTATAATTTTAAGGAAAGAGATTCCTATAAATTTAACTGAGTATTCTACCTCAAGATTTTTTTTTTCATATTTTTTATTACAGAAAAACAAACAAAAGTTTAAAATCAAATGCTTGCATAAATAAATCCTGCTTGCATAAAATTTAGTGCATATATTTATACTTACAAGACTAAGAGAAGCCAGCTTTTTCCCATCCGTGTTTGTTTTTAACTTGGTCATTATTATGCTTTTAACCTGATTACTACAACTAAAGAACGAAGTGAAGTAAGTTTTAGAACTGCCTCTAGAAAATGACAATGGTCATTTATTTTCAAAGAACAGTAAAAAATAATCCAGCACAGCTTCTGCTAGTTTAGTAGAAAAAATACAGTAAATTTAAGTTTATTTTTAAATTTGAGCATTATTCGTAAAAATTGTATAAGTTTAAAGTCTTTGATCATGAAAACCACCGATACTTTATGCTGTAAAATCATCCTTTCTTCCAATGATAAAATGAAAAATTACTGTTGTGCTCTCCCTGGAAAGCAATTACATTAGTTTTGAATTTGTCAGCAAAACTTTCAGTGTTGCCACTTTAACTTTGAGTTCTGTATCCTAACAGGAGGTATCAAATCTCAAGGATGCAAAACAGCTATTGATTCAACAGAAATTAGAGCTTCAGAGCAAAATAGATCATATGAATTCAGCTCTGGAGCAGGAGAAGAAAAACCAACAAGCTGTCAAAGATCAGTTGAAAAAGAGAGAAGAAGAACTGAAGAAAGAATGTGTTGAAATTCAAGATAAACTGGTTAGTATGTGAGAGACTGTAAGACTGTTTTGTGAATGTGCCTTTGGATTCTTTCAGGGGACGAGAGGAAGCATAGAGTTGTCTAAAGTTTTACATCATACTAATTTTTAAATGTCAAGATCAAAAATCTTTGAGGCATTTAAGAGTGTAGGAAGTTTCAGTAGGATGATAGTCTTGTGTAATAGGGTTCATTGGTTAAAAGTAATGATTCTAGTATGGTAAAGATTATTTGCCTCATTTGAGTATAATGAATACAGAAAGAATACTTGGAAGGTTGTTTTTCACTATTTCTTGATGTTCTTAGCACACAGAGGTAAAAGAGAAAGAAGAAGAAAACCGGAAACATGAGGAAAAGGAGGCCAAGCTCACCATGCAGGTAACAGCTCTGAATGAAAACCTGGCTACCATGAAGAAAGAGTGGCAAAGCAGTCAGAGGCGAGTGAGCGAGCTGGAGAAACAGACGGACGATTTACGTGGGGACATTGCTGTCTTGGAAGCGACAGTGCAGAATAACCAGGATGAGAGAAGAGCATTGCTGGAGAGGTGAGCAGTGGTCGTGATGGGGTGGAAGTGTAGTTTGGGAAGTGGGTAGCCTTGCACTGGAAATACTTTCAGTTGACTCAAGCTCTGCATCCATGCTGTACTTAAATCCATGCTTATCTGGGCTGTGGCTTCCAAACTGGAACCTTCTGTTGTCCCTGCCAAAGCACAGCAAGCGGTGTTGTGAACGAACTGTACTCTGTGAGCTTTGACAGGGTGACCGTATTGTAGGAAATCAGGCAGGCTTATCAGAACCTTACTTTATCACTAAAGCCACATGTCTGTGCCTCCGCTTAAAGATTTATGTCCATCCCTACTGGGCGCCTTGGAATTTTAAGGTGTGTAGGTTGTGGCTTTTCATGTCATCTGTTGCATGAACCATGCAAGGCCTGGCTCTGTTACCTGAGTAAACTTATCTTCTCTGTCACTCTGAGACTCCTTGGAACTCGATTCATTTGAATGAATCAGAATAGATGCAGTAGTCATCCAGAAACCTGGATCAGACTCATTAGTGCCTCCAATAACACAGAATTTGGCTATGGACTTCTAGGTGTGCCCACTGCTCATCATTAGGGTATTGAACATGTAATTGGCTTAGATAGACTTTCTAAGGTTCATATGAGGCATTTTCTTCCTTCTAAAAAGCTAATATCTTCCTTTCTCCAGTTCTTTTGTTGTCTTTACGACATAGTCGTTAAGACTTACATAAGCAGAGCTGCTTTCCTTCGGGCAGCAAGAGGCACATGCAAACCAGCAGGAGTGGCTTGAATGTAGAGATTATAAGGTTTACAACATCTGTGAGACTGGAAACTTCTTCCATCCTTATTTCCTGAGATGTTTGGTGAAGGCAGAATGGAAAACTTTATTCCGTCCTGTCAAGCTTGCTGCTTGGCTTTTAAGCAGTAAGCCTTGGGAAAGGATGGGATCAATTCAAATGAGATTCTTTTTCTTTGGCTATCCCTTGTCATACTATGCTGAACTCATCCAGTAACCCTTTTACAGCTTAGTAGAAAAGCACCCTTTAAAATCTGTGTTTCAAGTTAACTGAATTTCAGCTGATGAGAGGTGGCCTTGCTAAAAGAAAAAGGTTACTTTCTGCTTTGTTGTCTGAAGTGATTTGCAGCAGATGCTTTGTGAGAGTGTTCTGTTGCACAGTGATGCTCATCAGGGCGTGCTGATTAATGGGCTGCATTCAGTACTGTCCCTGGTGTTGGGAGTAACTCCAGGTATTAAAAAGCCCCAGATATTTGGGAGCAATGCCAGAAAATCTTAAACTGGTTGTTACAACAGAATATTTTTCCAGCCAAGAACTTTCACAGCAAGTGTATTTTCAGACGGATTTTATGAGGGTAACTCTTCTCAGTCATGACAACCTGCCCAAAGGAGGCAGAGCACATTGCCTTTGGACTGACTATTCACTCTTTATCCTCAGGTGTATAAAAAGTGAAGGAGAAATTGAAAAGCTTCAAGCCAAACTTGTAGAAATGAAGAAAAAGTTGGACAACACTACTGCGGCAATGCAGGAGCTAGGCCGAGAAAACCAGTCATTACAGGTATCATTTGATTTGAAGCAAACCTGTTAATTCTCTCTGTGGGTCTTGTCAGAATTATAAGTTTGCATCGTATTTGCGGCGGGTTATTTTTCCATAGTGATTAAGATGTTCCTGTGGTGCACAAGGACCGTATGGCTGTCTGTAGGTTAACTCTGCTTTTAGGTTTCTCTCTGAATTATAAGTTCTCAGTATCATGTCAGAATTGGTGCTTTTATACAGCATTGGGTAGTGTATGCAGTGTAATAGAGTAAATGAGTAAGGATTACATATGCTTTTTTTTTTTTTTTTTTAAATTAAATAGATCAAACACACCCAAGCTCTCAACAGGAAATGGGCAGAAGACAACGAGGTACAGAATTGTATGGCCTGTGGAAAAGGCTTTTCAGTGACAGTGAGAAGGGTAGGTTTGTCTTTCGCTGTATCCGTGGGGATTTTCTTTTTCTATTGTTTTCAAACTGTTTTTCATGAGATGAAATTTTAGAAAATGGCTGTAAAGTGCTATGATACTTGGGACATCATCTTAGAATACAAATACTGCTTATGGTGCCTTAAATACTAAAAATACAGTTTGTGGGGTTTACCGCATTCATGCTGCTTTTGTCATTTTAATGATAGCATTTTATAAATAATGTTAAATAGCTCAGTCCCCGAAGCAAGCAAAGTGATACTGTTGTAAGGGTTCTTACAGTAAACGTATTTAAAACCAGTCTGGAATGGATTTTGAAGAGAAAAAGGAAGGTAAATTTGTTGAAACGACATATATGTGAAAATATAAGACATCAGCAATATCTGGAGCTTTGTGATTGTAAATGCTAAGTAGACAAAGAACAGAAGAAACAACTGGGTATGTTTTAGGTCTGTAGTCAGACCTTCTTTGTAAAAACAGCTGTGGTCAGTTAAGATGTTAGCATCCCTTCCTTGGCAGGGCCTGCCCTTCATCCAGAGATTATCATCCCTCCACCGAGTGACTTGGCAATGAAGTAGGTGAGGGATGTTGGTGAGGTTCACTCTGCAGTGCTTCCTGACTTGGTATTAGGTGGCTCTCCCTGTCCTGCATTGTGATGTCCTTTGGGTAGTCTTTGAACAAAGGCTTCTGGTTCCTTTGATTCAAGGGTGTAATTCCCAGTGTGAAAGCAGATAGTTACATGTAGGATGAATGTGTTTCATGCAAACAAAATAAGTTCAAGAGGAAAAATTCAAAAGGAGAATGAATTTCAACCAGTTCAGATCTGAAACTGGTATGGGTCTCCCTTCTCAGTGAAGCAGCGGTTGTAACTGTTATTTTAAAAATCTGAAACATGAGAGTGCTGATTTGACATGGTAATTATCTCCATTATTAATCTACACCCGTAAGCCTGTAATTGATGTTTACCATGTATGTTTTTTTCTTTTCTTTCACAGCATCACTGTAGACAGTGTGGAAATATTTTCTGTGCTGAGTGCTCAGCAAAGAATGCCTTAACTCCTTCCTCTAAGAAGCCTGTTCGGGTCTGTGATACTTGCTTTAATGACTTGCAAGGATAACTGGCTATCGTGAGAGACAAAGAAATGTTACGCTAAAATTTATAATTTCTGTTGATGCACTTCATTCTGCACTCAGACTACTATTCAGTTTGGACAATGATTGTAACACTTGGCAAAATTTAGTATATTTTAAAATGTTTATTGATACCAAGTAAAACTATTGTATTTTTTGTGAGATATGGGCTCAGATCACCCATAGCTTATTGCCATTTATCCTGGAAAGAGCTTCTATGTCTAGATTAGAAATACCAAGTTATTTGTAAATAAAGTTTAAACAGAGGAGTAACAATGTATTTTTTTATCTTTATTTTTTTTGTTCAAGAGAAAACGCGTTTATGTGATATTGCAGTTTATTCTTGTTTCCTTCAATGGAAAAGGAGGATGCAAAAATTTGTGAGGATTTTGTGTATCAAATGTTGCTGTAATAGCATAACTAATTGTTGCATTTGATTACGTATCTCATGTTCTTTATAACCCCTTTGTTTTGCTTTCTCTCTCTCTGGTTCTTGGACTTTTCTCTCTGAAGTTGTAACTCCGCAGTGAGGGTAATGGGCTGGACTCAACTCTGTTTTATTTGCCTGCTTAGAACTTGTAGTGTCAGCACCTGAGTTCTTTCCCAGCTACAGCACTTGGATACTGGAATATCTTTACACATTCTGTACTGCATTGTGTGTGTGTGCGTGTGTCTGTGCCTGTATGTGTGAATTAATGATGTGACCAAGTTTAGTGGGCATTGTAGGAGTACTACACAAAGCTCTCCCGTATTAATCGATTTCACTTTTACATGTTTGATGAATGGATTTTAATATTCCAGAAGCCCTTTATATGCAGGTTTTAAATAGTAAACAAACAAGGCAGGTAGTAGCCTATAGCCCGTCTGACCCTCTGCCCATACTCTGGAAGCCCCAAGAAGTCCTTGTGGTTCTCAGGGATGTCCAGAAATGCCTCACTAGGTATCCTGCTAAGAAAAGCTCTTTTTTTTAGAGGGTGCTGCAGTTTAGGTGACCTTTTCTCCTATCCCTTCCTTCAGCTTTTGGTGGAACAAGTTGAACTCCTGCTACCCCTAACAAACATCACTTTTCCATTGTTCCTTCTGTCCACCATTGCTAAAGGTTCTTAAATGGTGTGTGAATTCTATGATTTAGTTTGCTTAGGATGGTGGTTAAATTCTCCTGGTGCTGGCTTAGTTATAAGCACACAACTCTAAATAAACAGGCCAACATATATGGTTCTAGAGCATAGAAGCATAGAATGGCTTGGGTTGAAAGGGACCTTTAAAGGTCGTCCACTCCACCCCTCCTGCACAGGACCCTAGATCAGGTTGTTCAAAGTCCCATCCAGCCTGACTTTGAACACTTCCTTTGAACGTCAGTGGAAATTGATGGGACGGCCACAGCGCCTCTGGGGAACCTGCTCCAGCGTCTCATCACCTTGTATTTGTTCATATTTCCTTTTCTGTACTTACTACAGAGGTTTCCTGCTGAGTTCATATAGACTGCTCTTTTTGTTGTGCTTTTATTTACACCTGTTTCTTCTTGCCTGCCTGTGTCTAAATTTTCCTCCCTTTGAAAGGAGTATCTGGTAACTGGCCTCAAAACCATTAAGGTTATTTCTTCTGATCCGGGATTATGCCTTCCAATACTTAGGGACCGTTAGTCTTCGTTATCCTAGTAAACTCTCTACAACCCAAGCCCTTCTCTGTCTTACAAAATTGTGCCAGCTGTTCAGAGAAAAGGACTATGCCCTCAATTCTTCTAATTCTTGCCTTCCAAGGTAAGGAAACACATTCTGTTACAATGATAGATGCTTAGCCATCTTTAGGCAGATTTATTTACTTTTATGTATTGACAGCTTTTTATGTGAATGAAGAGGAGCCTCTTTTATGAAAAATGTCTAGTCCTGACTAACTCTCAAGTGAAAAGACTTGTTAATCCCTATTCCCCAGTAATGATCTATATGTTTCATATCCCATCTTAGCTTACCCATCTAGTTCTAAATTTGCATCCTCAAGGAGTCATCTTAAAATGTAATTCTTATTATTCCTTATGCTTGGAATACACACATGGTTATGTGCAGTACTTACCAGCTTTTCTAGTTCAAACTTCTGAGATTTGTTTGCTTGAAAGAAACAAGTGCTGTAATGATTCTGTATGAATAGATCCTGTGGGCTTGCTGCTTGTCCTTGTCAGGGTAACTGATTGGAATAAGAATTCTTTGACTGGAAAGTATGAACAGAATCTCTGCCTCTGGGGATTTTTTTCTGTTCAATTACTTACTGATGGAATCCAAAGAGTTTGCTTTCAAGCCTTTCTCTGTCTGATACGTGGCTTCAGAAATCTGGCAAAGATGTCACAGTCTTGCTTCTTCCTAGGTACGCACCATCCGGTTGTGTAACACACAGAGTGTACAGATTTTAGGGTGAAGGACAACCATGTAGAATGGAGGGGATTTTAAGAGGGAAGAGAGAAACCTCCCACAACTGCATGAAGGACAAAACGTATGTGGTGAACGAAGATGGAAGTTTCTCAGGGGGAGCTAGGGAAATGGTTGAAAGATCCGCTTGTGTTTAGATGTTTTACTTTTGAACAGAGGAGAGAGCTCTACAGGAAAGAGGAAATGGTAGAAGCTCTGCTATCATTGTTCGTGATTTTGGGATGCTGTGCTGTAAAGACAAGCAAAGTCATCTCACTCAGCTGGCTGCTGAATAAGTGTGTTCGGTTGGTCACCAGACAACTCAGGAGTTGGACGTTGGACTTGATGATCCTTATGGGTCCCTTCCAACTCGGGATATTCTATGATTCTAACTCAGGATGGAGCTTCCCAGCTTCAAGGTGAAACCAGCTCAATTTCTGAAGGCTTCTTTTTGCTGACTGATGTGTGTGGCTGACTTCTTGAGGGGACAGAAATACTTTTCAAATACACAGTTGTAGAAAGAGGGATTGCTAAGGTCAGGAGGAGCAGTACTGAGGTAGAAACTTTGAGGTTTGAGACTGAAGCAAAGTTAGGAGTTCTGCAGCTTTTCACTGGAATAAATTAGTGGCTTCATTGTTAAATCTTATGCTCCTACTCTTGTGTTTATGATTTTTAGTGCAGGTCTGTATTCTCTGACAATTTGTTGGTATGATAGACCACATAATACTGGCTGCCATGATGAAAGTTGTGCTCAAGCTCAGTAAAATGACCTAAGGGTATTACTATTTATATAAGGAAAACTTGAAGGTGAAAAGTGTTGTATTTGTAAATGTGCTTATAGATTCTGACTGCTTTGAAGGGTATGTTGTCAGTAAGATGTGGGTTTTTTGTTGCACTCCTTTCAAATATAAATAATAGGAAAACCTAGCAAAAAGTCTGCTAGGTTTTACCACACTGAGATAAAGGACTCTGGACAAAGTAGTTAAATGCACTGATTTTTCAGACTACAAACATGGAAACAGAGGAAAAAAATGGCAGAAGAGACTAGAACATGGAACCAGAAGGTGAAAACGTGTGGTGATGTGTTTTAGCAGCCTTTAGCAAGAACCACATAGCTCTGATTCACCAAGGAGAGGCCATTGTAGAGTAAGATGTCAAGAGGAAAAATGGTGAAACCAATGCTTGAATCAGAAAGTATGTGGGATCCCTGAGCTGCCTTTAATTGCCAGCCATTACCGTGGCATCAGAAATTGAACAGTGAAGCATGGGACTCGTTCCTGAAGCTGTGGATAGAGTGTCTTCAGGAGGACATTCAGCATCTCTGGTGAAGCAGAATCTGAAACACCAACTGCTGCATGGGCTGAGACAATCTACCAAGTCATTTGGAGAAGCATAAAAGATGGTCTTGCTAAGGATGGGGAGAGGTTCTTTTAACTGTTTGGAGATGCTGCATCTCTTCCCAAACAGCCACAATCCCTTGGGTTGTTGTCTCCAAAATGCCAAATCCCCACTGTTTTATTCCGGCCTCATGTCAACAATGCATACTTCATATTTTCATACTGCAGTCCCCATGTAGGCAGAGAGCACTGCAGGGTTCAGTGGCAAGCTTTTGATCTTAGCTGGATATGCTTCACTGTTATTTCTTCTCCCCATGTATTCCTTCCCTCCAATAACCTTCCCCTTTCTGCAAAGGTTTAACAAAGATTATAAAACTGAGTCACAGTAGGAAAAATTGCTGTCTGCAGATAAAGAGGCAAAGGGAAGTTTCTGCTGCTACTTCCAGCAGAGACAAGAGGTTTAGAGGGATCTCATTTTTCGTCTGGCTTTGCTCTGGCACAAGAGTTCAATGCTCTACTATAGAGTGCAGTTTTTTTCCTCTGTTTTTGGAAAGTATTAAGTAACCAAGTTGTTGTGGAGTGTGGAGTGCTAGGCATGCAAGAGCAATGAATGTTTTTGTTGGTTTTGGGGCCATTAGGTTTATTTGTGAATCCTCACTAGAAAACCTTTCTTAGTGAAGCAAGAGGGTATTTGGGAGTGGAAGCATGAAGTAACCTCGCTGTTTGTATCACATATTAGCAAGAATAATTGTTTCTACTATGCTAGATGTAAAAGAAGTTGTATTCCTAAAGCAGGGACTGGAAAAAAAGTATTTTTCTAGATTGTTCAATGTCAGTTAAATGGAAAGTTGAAACAAATGCTTTTTGCAAAACTTAAAAATTTATGACCAGTACTCAGTGGCAGACAGAAAACTGCTGAAGCTGGAGCTCAAATAGAGCACGAACTATGTCAGGAAGAATGATACCGTGGTTTGAGTATGCTAAAACTGTTAAATTACTCCTCCAAGTACCACCCCTTCCACTCATATTCTTGTGGGACTAGAAAATAACACTGTCATTTGCACTATGCACTTTTTGCTGTCTAACTGAATATAATCTCCAAGAAGCGGAATGGCACTGCTGGCGTTGCGTGTGCTAGCTGTAATCAGTGGGCAGAAGGTTTATCTTCAGCTGGACTTTCACTGCATTACATTTGGCCCCTTGCTATGTAAGGAGAATTGCACTCATAATTACTTTGTACCAAAAATAAGGTCATCATCCGGGAGCACATGTAACAAGAAAATTCATGTAGTCACTCACATGTTGTCTTTGTAGAGCTTCATTTTAAGCTTATAAAGTGAATATACATTAATTTTATGTATTTTCAAGGTTCTTGCCAGTTGTCTAGTCCTTCATTTTTGAAGTATTGACCTCACCATCCCTTTTAGGATAAGTTTAAAATTATTGTCTGACCACAGCCTCTCTTTGAAAACACTAAGTGGTCTACTTTTCAAAAACCAGCAATAATTGGATAGTAAAGTCCCTCCACAGAAACTCAGTTGTGTTTCTCTCTCTCTTTTTGTAAAGTGGCACTGAATAAAGAGCTTTGTATCTTTAGAGAGAACACAAGATGCCACTCAGAATCACAGTAAGAAAGAGAATAGACACTGGTTAATGTAATAAGCTCTGCCTTTTGTCTGCAGTGTGCCATATACTATGCACTTGCTGTGCGGCAGATACAGGCGTACCTGCTCATGTGGAGATTACTGAAGCCCTGCTAACCCCTTTAGATCAACGTTACTATGAAAGCAGAAGCCTGGTAGTCATGTTTTCCGACTTTGCCTCCCCCTGTGACCTAAACTGAAAAACAAATTCACCCCTGTTTCCTGCCTTTTTAGGGTAAAGAAGGCTGGGAACAGTGTTCAGTGTTAAATGTCGACAGGCCAGCACTGGCAGGTCTGGGCTCCTGCTGCTGGGTTTATGGCGAAGTGCTCTGCTGTATCACGCTAAGTCTTGAATCCTGGCACAGGAGGGACGTTTAGAAGAATGTCTCGCTGAGTGAGCAAATACCAGAACTTTTTATAGTAATGTGTCCAAAATGCTGCTTGTATAGGATTTGTCACTTTTGTAAGAAAAGGAAAAAAAAAATCAGAAAAAAAATAAAAATCATGAAACCCCACCATTTGATGCCGTTACTTAAGATTTCATTTGAACTACCTCTCAGTGTGAAACTCAAACACTAGGTAAGTTTAATAGGATTTGCTCACTGTCACGTTATGTAAAAGTTATAGTGAAAGCCAAAATTGCAAAAGTTTATCACCAAAAAAAAAAAGTTTTTTTTTTTTTTTAATATGTTTGGAAGTATCCAATAGTTTCAAGTTACTGTAAACTCTGTTGAATTCTTTTAACCTCTGTAATTTCAATCTTGCAAACTCTAGCTGCTGGACAGGAAATAAATCATAACCACAACCTTTCATAATCACGGTCTGCTGGGTAAAAACAATTTTGTATACAGCTTTGTCATTTGACTATGGATAACCTCATTCACCAAATGTACCATTAATTTAGCATTTTTTTCCTTCAATACGCAAGATGTGAACTTGATGAATGGTTTCTGTAATGGATGCGTGCCACAAGTAGCATTGTGCTGTTTGCCTCTTTTCAGCATTTTATTGATTGGTTTATTATTGCAGATGTGAATATCACACAACTTATTTTCTGTAGAATTGTATAAAATATAAATGGAAGAAGTTTTAAGTTCTTACCCAGTATTTAGAGGTAATGTATTATAATAGCCTTATGATGCAATTTTACCTACAGAGTACTGCACTTCTTTTAAACTGGATCATACCATCTTGGTAGGTGTAGATAAATTTTGCATGAATGTGTTTGGATTTTGTTTCTTTTTCATTGGAGTTTGATTCTTAAGTTCTATTTTCAGTGTTTGTGTTTACTACTCGTGATCATGTAGTTGTGCCTTACATTGTGAAAAAAAATTAGTCCAGCGTGCACTGTAATTGCTAAACTCTGCGATTTGGAAGGTGGCTGTGGATTTGGATGAGTAAATGACACCATGCATCAACCAGTTCTGTATAAACTATGATGAAATGTTATTGAAATGTAATTTTTGTTTTCTAACCTGTTACAGGAATGATGAATGACAATAAAAGAAAAAATTAGACCTTTCTAACAGACCTTTCTGTCATTCACTTCAGACAACAAAGCTACTTTGAATTGGGGAATATGTCATCATATAAGTGAACTCTTGGGAAGCCACACATGTGGGAACAATTAAATGCTCCAGTTTCTTAGACTGGTTGGAGGCTGCAACAAAAGCTTTCTCTTTCACGAGGAGGATGTGATAATGACTGGTTTTCACAAGTTAAATTCAGAGTGGTTTTTCCTTTCCTAATAACTGTGCAAATCCGCTGGTTATACTGGGTTCAGTTATTCTTTCTGTCACTGACCACATTCCTACATTGTGTTCTGTACAGTCTAACAACTGATATAACTGGAAGGCTCAAAATTAGTGCTTGTTTTAGTTCTTCAGGTTATGGGAGGTTTCACTTATTGGATGAAAACCTCTAAAAGAGCAGAACTGCAGTGCAGAGAGAATCCAGGCGATCAGTGTGTGCCCCATGATAAAGCCACTATTGCATTGTGGGGGCATTTACAAAAAACTACATTTCAAAACTGAAGTAGATCTTCCTAGAGGCTTGGTGTGTAGACAGTAGAAAAAGTTTGAGAGAGGCTTTCTCTGAAAGGGGATTCAAGTTGAGAAGTTGATTTCTGCTTTGATTGTTTTCTGGGGCATCTTCCTCTCCAGACCACAAAAGAGCCCGTTGAGTTTGTCTCCCTAAAGACAGCCTGTGTGAAAGTACTTCCTTCCCCTAGGGTATCCCCCTTAGAGATGTACTGACCTCTGAGAGTACTGAATCTCCAGGACTATTTAGTTACCTGGTAAACTGAGCAGACCTATCTTAAAGATCTTTCTGGAAGGAAAAAACAAACAAACAAACAAAAAAACACAGGTGCAAAACACCCCCTTCTCTTCTGCCAGTGCAGAAAGCACAGGGCTTAATCTGACAGGTGTGATTTCTCTGGGCTTAAAACTCTTTGGTATCATCACTGATTGCAAGATACTGTGAGATTCTGTAGAGGTGCTGGGGATGGAAGGGTGTGACACAGCACACAGCTGAGTGTGGCACCAGTGGAGATAGAGCACAGCTGTTGAAGCCAAGCTGTGGCCAAGTGTTTGTAGCATGCGTGGCTTCCTGGAGCAGCTCTGCTTGGTTCTGCTTTTCTGCTGTATGCATTTACCCCGGGCATGCAGCCTGGGTAGCTGTCCCTTTCTCACTAGGCTGTGACAGAAACTTGCCCGTTGTGGGCATAAAAGGGAAGAGCAGGAGCACGTGCTGCGGTGACATCGGGAGGATGATGGTCCAGGTAAGTACACACAGCTTCCAGACCAGAGTTTGTGTGTAGATGTAAACTGCTCAAGTGGAGAAAACATATCATAACATCCTGATGGGTGGAGCTGGATTAGACACAACATTTGAATTTATGACTAATTTGATGCCAGAGCAGAGACAAAAGATAGGGAAGTATGCTGACTTAACCGTGAGTAATGCAAACAACTGGAACGGCGCTCCCAAATTCTTCAGCATAGTCTTCATCTGTGTGGTTTCTCTGTTCAGTTCACCCTGAAATAATTTCTGTTACTGAAGGGATATTCTAAAGGTTTGCTTCCATGCTTAGGGAGAGACTGACTGGGCACAACGAGTGGGAGAAGTGGCAGGATCATTTAGACCGGCTTTAGAGAAGTCTCTCTTCCTCTGCTATGCTAATCTCAGACTAGCCCAGGCTAATGTGGTGAGAGCACCCTCCCTCTACAGGAGTAATGTTGTGTCAACCAGTTACAGACTTATGTGGGGCTATTCCAGCATCCTCAAAAAAAGAAAAAAACGTACACATACTTTTACTATATGAACCATAGATCTGGGATTGCAATGAAGTATTGAATGTTTTAATATAAAAAGAATGTTTGAGTTTTTGAAGAAAAGTTGAAAAGACTGTGAAATTGAACCCTGAAGGCCGCACTAAGCGTAAATAATGCATAGTGACGGATCTACTGATAATAAAGCTGTGAAAAACTTTGGGTAAAAAAAGTCCCCATTAGAAGGGGGACATCATTGCACTTCTGTTCTTTTTATATATTCTGTAGCATCTGTAGCTTATCTGAATATTAGATGTAAAGATGACCATTTTCAAATAAACAGAGCACTAAGCAACCTTTTCATTTTGAAAATTAATTGCTACTCAAAAAAATGTTTTTACTGATCTTCCCCCACAAGCTGAGTGTGAGATGTTACTTTAGTAGGTGAAAAGGCAGTAAGTACAGGGAGCTATGGCTAGTTGCCTACAATTTTAATTTTATGAAATTTATTAATACAATTCGAATGAGTTCGGAATAACCCCTCTAGACTTCTGGTGAATAAGTTCTCCTCATCAACATAGGTGTTTTCCCTGTCCTGCTTTCTAGGAAAGAAGTTGTGTTAACACTTCCCTGGATGGCAAGAGCCTTCCCCTAGCTGAAGCAAAGGAGCATTTAAGAGTGATGTGTTTGGTGCTTGGCTCATTCTCCCCCTCCGATGTATTCCTATATTCTGTGGTCAAAACTCATCACTTCTGTCTAGTCAAGTCAGAAGTCTGCTAGTGTCAGAAAATAAAAGGCATGCTGGAAGGAATAACTATGTTATCACCACAATAGTATTCCACGGGATCTGTCCATGCTGTGCTGGCATTATTAAATTTCAGAGGATTCAGCTGGGGAGCAGAAAAGTGTGCTTTTCTTGATTTCATGTTGCTTAGTGTAATTGGAGATTGCCATTTCTATCTGCGACATCCATGCTTTCTGTAACAAGAAAAATAATCTGTAAACCCAGGCAATCTGCAAAGTTCTAGTAATTCAGACAGATGAACGCCCATGAGCTTTCAGCTGTATTTGGTGTTTCTTCAGGCCCTTGCTCATAATTCCTGAAACAAAAGTGAGTTTTCCTTGAGCCCCAACACTCCCCATTGCGAAGGCCACAGCACATCACTAGAATCTTTGTCTGGAGCCAGAGATTTCCAATGAAACTTTACTTTTTGGTATAAAGATGGGACTTTAATGCTCTGTTTGCTTGAAATTTTGAAATTTGCTGCAGGCTATTTCACCTGTTTTTGTGTAGCATTTATTAATTTAATGCTGTCCCTGCAGTTTGGGCTCCCTGCTACCCTGATTAAGACAGCTCCAGTGCTATCAATATTGCAAGTTGTTGGCCCCTCTGAGGTCTGTCATGTGCTGCCACATGAATTTCAGTTTCCTGCACCATGCTGACAGCATTCATCTCTACATCCCCTATCATCCAGGTAGGAAGGCAGGGGGTAGTGGCTGGAGAGAGGGGTTTAAATACATCAACGTAACTTCTCTCTGTGCTAGTCCAGATGGTCTGGGTCACAGAAGCTGAGCTGTCTCTGAACTGCTGTGATGAGACGTTGCAAATTGTTTGGCAGCAATACAAGCTGGAGGTCTAGCTGTGCTTCTGCCACCCCAGGGTTTTTGTTTTGCCTATTCAGTGGCTGCTCTCCCTGCTGTAAGGCACAAAGAGTCACTGGGCTTTGATGCAGGGCATAGAAATGCATGAGAGGCAGCTCTGCTTCGTGCTACTTTAGGATTCATAAATTTTGTTATTGACCCATCTGGTTGCTTCCTATGTGTGTTCAAACCCCAAACAAGACAAATGCATCACTTTGGAAAACAGAAAGCAGAGGAGAGAGATTGCATGCTGTCTTCAGTACGGGTGGTTGCTCTGGCCCCTCTAGAACTGCCAGCAGAAGAGGGGATGATGAGCTGTGCAGTGGTGGTTGCACAGCGTTGGCCGGGCAGGAGTGGTCCCTTACGAGTCAGAGTTTCAAATGTTTAGGTTTTTGTGGCTCAGAGAGGAGGACAGGGGAGAAGGGTGGGGCAGCTGCATGGATGGGCTGAGTGAGTAAGAGCAGCGTATTTCAGTTCTGTGTTTTTGTGTGTCTGAGAGGGAGGTGGGAGTGGGGACAGGTGTCCGACGCATCTCCATTACGTACATGGTGAATACTCAGGCAGCAAAATTCAGAAGATATGCTCCGTGTGCAGTCAATGCGGAGCTGTATTCTGGTGAGCCAGTGAACTGGGGCCTTGTGAGCGAACACAGAGCCCAGGCAGGCCCCTCGCAACACTGGGAAAACTTGGGGGTAGCCTGCAGTGTAGCAGGCCTCTGCTTGGGATGACTCAATGGGAAAACGGCACCTACGTCTTCATTCAGCTTGCCATCTCTCTTGTGATGTGGTTTATCCGATTAAAGGATCTGATCAGAGCTGGCAACACTTAAGGATATTTTTTCTTAGAGCACAAGAGCTCTCTACTCCCATGTGTAATAAATATTCCAGGGAAGGTAGGAAACCATCATGGCTGAATGAGGACCTGCTGGTCAAACAGGCAAAAGGAGGAAGTGCACAGATGGTGGAAATGTGGCCATGTGCTTTGGGAAGAGTACAGAAACGCTGTCTGGATGTGCAGGGATGGGATCGGGAAAGCTAAGGCACTGACTCTAAGGCACTGACTGAACTAAACTTGGAGAGTTGTGCAAAGAACAACAAGAAGGGGTTCTACAGGTACTTTTATTTGGGTAGATAATGGTGGGACAAAGGGGGAATGGTCTTAAACTGGAAAAGGATAAATTTAGATTAGATGTTAGGAAGAAATTATTCCCTCAGAGGGTGGCAAGGTACTGGCAGAGGTTGCCCCAGGGAAGCTGTGGCTGCCCCATCCCTGGAGGTGCTCAAGGCTAGGCTGGATGGGGCTTTGGGCAACCTGGTCTGGTGGGTGGTGTCCCTGCCCATGGCAGAGGGCTGGAACTGGGTGGGCTTTAAGGTCCTTTCCAACCCAAGCCATTCTATAATTCTATCTACCTCAAAGTCCTGATCTGATGGCCCTCACAAATATCAGTTGTCTTAGGAAGATCATCATCCTTTCTGTCTTGCAGATCATTATCAGCTAAAACTGTGAGGCCAAAACTTTGCTAAAATTAGTAAAGTTTGTTTTAAAAAACATGCTGACTGTGCTGGGATTGGGTTTATGAGCAGAAATATAGTAGTTTATCCAAAACCGTGGTG